GGATGGAACTTTAGAGAGATGGATCCTGTGTAGACCGAGGCAAATCTAATGGAGTCTCATTCACCTCTCCAGCATTTCCACGCATTTCACTTGAGGCAGCTGTCTGTGTGTTTTAGTGGTCTCATAAGTCAGGGTAATGGCTGCACTGGGTCACATCCTCAAGCACCTTATGCTGTATTTGAATTGTGTGCATGTCTGAACTGAGGATTTTGGATTTCACTGCAGAGCCATGCACTTAGGATTGGAGTGCCTAACACATTTGCTGGAAACATTAGCTGTGGTGTGCTTTGAATGGAAAAGAGAAAGAAGCAGGCTTGAGGTCACGCATCATTTGAGCCCAGCGGTTAATTCTTCATTACTCAACTGGTATCAGAGAGAAATCCTAACAAAATTAAACTCAACAATGCAGCTATCATCAAATCCACACAAAGCCTCCAGGAGCTCAAATAGAAAGGTACCATATGGGTAAGGCTGCAGAAGCTAATTTTAACATTATTCGGTTCAGCAAAGAACACATCCTGATTCCAAATGGGGCTTTATTCTTAGCTCACATTTGTTATACTTACTTATTTTTTCTGAAGATCGATTCTCACTTTTAGTAATTATTAAGACATGCTTTTTTGATAGTAAGTGAGGTGTTTTTACTAAATCTGGTGCTTTTTCTTTGATAACTAGGAGAATGTATAATTAGGTATCTTAATTTTTAGACTGCGTTCTATTAGGAAAAAAGCAGATAATGCTTCTCATTTCTAAGGGGATTGCCTTTTATTCATTATTTAAGGTAATCTGGGTGGAAATTCCAATTACAATATGCTTTCATCAGTTAAATATAATTACACAGAATATTATGATACAAAATATTTATTGAATGATATTTTGAAGTAAAAACTTTGAATTAGGAATTCTTTCTGACCATGTGCCCTTCAAGATGCCCAAAAGCAGAGGAGGTTAACTACTTATTTTCTAGGCTTTGTTATATGTCATAAGCTATAAACACATTCTAGTAGAAAACATTCATTGCACTTCTTTTTGAAGCCATCATTTTTTCAGCCTACCTTTTCTCACTGAGGCAGAAAAATAAACTTAAATTTTAGTTCCTTTGTTAATCTACTCCTAAGTCAGTCTGGACATCAGTCAGTTAATATTTTTTTATTTTGCTGAAGATTAATTTTTTTTCTTATAAATGATGAAAAAAAAATCTGTTTGTTTGTAAAACTGTTTTGGCTCAAGGCTCTGTATCTCTTCATATCAATCAGCCAACACTAATATGCGTGACAGAAAGTAGGACAGAGATCCCCAAAGAGGGATGAAAAAATGAAATGACAAACAAGTTGGAAAAGATGCAGGGTCGTTTCCCTTTCAGCTCCAGTGAAATACCTTGCTTTATGAGTCAGCATTTGAGATGCAAATAGTTTGCCATTATAAAAATAGTAAGATGATGAATGCCAGATATTTGCAGAATGTATTTTGGTAGCCCAGTTGAGTGAAGCTGGAACAAACAGAACTGATTTTTTAGAGATAAGCATTAGAAAGCACCAGCCCAGGAGCTGTTTCCACTTTGAATATCTGATCAAGCAATCAGAACATCAAGCTGTTGTGAGACAGGAGTAAACACCTATCAGAGAAAAACAGCCAAGTCTCGTTTGGGGAACTCTGTTTCAGAAATCACTGCATATAGAGAGACCCATTCTCCTAAGACACTATGATCAATTCCTTCTAAAGGCCACTGAGAAAGTTAGAGGTTCCTTGACCCCAGGCCTTCACCAGCAGTTCTGTACTGTCAACGTCAGTCAAAATGCCAAGAGAACATTACTTTCCCACAAGCACAAATGAACAGCAGAACTTGCAGATCCTTCTGAGCCCGCGTTTGAACATTTCACCCAAGTGCATCTCCACACAGTCATGGTACTGACCTTTCGTCTTTGCAGCAGCAGCCCAAGTCGGCAGGGACCCACTAGGATCACCAAGTCCAACTCCTGGCTCCACACAGGACCATCCAAAATTCAAACCCTGTATCTGAGAGCTCTGTCCAGATGTTCCTTGAACTCTGGCACTCGGGGCCATGCCCACCCCCTCTGGTGAGGAACCTTTTCCTAATGCTCTATCTGTGGAAAGCTGATGGATTTATATTGCAACAAGTTATCAGAGATACTTCCTTCCTCCACCCTTTCCCCCATCCTCCTGTTCAAACAAATTCTGAGAAGAAAAGATAAGATTTTGCAGGTTGTAACAGCACAGATACCCTCACATAGTGATTTTTTCTCTACTGAAAACTCATTTTCTAGGAAAGCTTTAAAGTCATCAGCTCTAATGAAAGTGACAGATAAATTAAGCTTGATTTGGGAAAATAAGTGACGGTGCATTCCAGGGGAAGGCTGGGTCAGGCACATGTGGAATTGCTTGTGTTAATGCCAGGCAGCTTGTCTGAGTCTGAACAACATGTTTCAAGAGTGAGGTCCTGTACTGAGAGCAGAGGGAGCCAATCAGATGAGGTCCAGCCCTACAATCAATATCCTTGTGCATCTAAACCTCATCACATCGTTCCCAAATGTCTCTATTTCTAAACAGAATGATCGATTCATGCCTACTGGGACACCGTTAAGCTCAGCTGCCTAATGTTTGCAAAGCATGTTGATAGCCCCAGGTGAGATCTGCTCCATAATTACAAGAGCTGCACATATCTCCTTGATGCCGTTGCACTTTTTAACCCACCCTTTTATCACCCGGTATTTCCTGCACCCTCCCCTGCAGGCAAAGCGATGAGCGAACAGAAATGACAAAGCGCGCTCCCAAACTTCCCTCCCACTCTCCTCTCCTCCATCTGTCGGAGAGAGAGATTTTATTTGCTGCAGGAGTACTGTCTGGCTAAAAATGTGAGCACTTTTTACAGCATGATCTCACTCTCTCCTCCACGCACACCCACTGCTCAAGGGCTTCGTTTTGAAGTATGACATTGCTTCCTAGCTAACACCCAGTGGAAGAAGAGACTTCTAAAGATGTTCTATTAGGTGCTGACTAAAAGGTGGCTTTAACATCCCACATGCTGTTCACCGCTGATCATCTCCACGCTACCTCTTGGGAACAGAAAGGAGCGGAGGATATCCGACAATTAAGGTTATTTTGCTTTCTCTTTCCCCATCACAAACAGTCCGTTTCAGTCATACGCCTCTCACCATTTCCAAATTTCGAGGTGCAGCCCCGAGTCTCATGACAAATTGGTACTCCTCTTTAATTCCAGGTACTGCTCCTGGAATGAAATGTCTCCTCTTCCTTTGAAGGAAAGCAGTGCACAAGTACAATTTGGGACCTTCTTGAGGGTGATTGGCCAAATGAGCAATCCTTCTCCAGCATGTATAATGCTCTATCAACCTAGATAGATTTTATCCCATATTTTTCTTCTTCATTTTATAGTAGCCTTAGCAGAGGACAAAACGGGGACTGTTGGAAGATAAATGTCAAGAAGAAGTGGCATTTTTTCCTGAATTTCATCCCAGTTTTGTTAGCAGGAATATGGAGATGAGAGATCCATAGATTTGGTCAGACAAAGATTGTGTCCTTTCCTTCCAAAGAACACAATTTCTTCATATTATGCTCTAGCAATTCCTATAAAAAGGCTTCAACCAAGAAAGCAGATGTATTACTGATGCCAATTAAAGGCACAGGCTGTATTACCAGCCTGATTACAGCTCTTATTTAAAGCTTGTTACACCTGGAAGGAAATGGTTTCCAGTTGGGGAACGATGACCAGACAACTGGTGACCCCAGCTTTGGACAAGCTTGAGTCAAATCCTAGCACTGCTCAAGTCACAGCTCCTCCAGGCCAAAGGGGATCGCCCAAAGCATTACTTACTGAAGTTTCAGCATCATTGACATCTTGGCAACTCAGAAGCCACAAAAGATTCAAGAAGATGCCCCAGCAAAAATAGGCAGAGAAAACAATTTATGAATGATAAAACACAAAATGAGCAAGGTGAAGGGAAGAGGAAAGATTCACAGCCTTAAAGCAAGGGGTGGAAAGAGGTGGTATTCTCCTTTCACCCTTGTTCACAGCTCTATGAAACAGAGAGCAAGTTTGAATTGCCATCACAAAACTATTCCACACAACAAAGCCTTTTCCCCACTGCAACAAGACTGCTGCAGAGCTATGAATACCCTGGCTCACAGGTACAGCTCATCGTACTACAAGTTTATTCATTCTTTAAGCATCAGTGACTCCTCCAGCCAAAATAGAGTGGTGAGAGACTGTGAATGTAACATATTGGGAAAGTCCTTCCTATTAGCTGGTGTTTAATCTTATTTGAACAGCATCGGACTGAATAGAAACACATCCAAAGTGACAGGGTCAAAAAGCTGTGAGAGCTGCCCAGGCACTTTATTTACCAAGACAAGCTGAGCAACTGGAAGCTTATAGCTTTTTCATTACTTCCTTATGCAATTTCAGCTTGATTCCTCTGCTCTCTATGCAGGTCTCAAGCCAAGAGTTCTTTGTAACAGCGTAAAATACATCTGTAAGGAAACTTGTCTATGATTATATCTATGAACTGTGGAAAACAGTTCTGCATGATTTGCTCAAAGATTTAAATGCTTTCTATCTGTCTGGCAATCATGGTTCAAATGAATACGACAGCACTGATAAGCTACTGCATCACTTTTAAAGGAGGAAAAAAAAAAAGATTGCAAAGGATTAGTTGTCCTAAAACTTCACAGTTCCAAGAACTGATGGAGTTGTGTAAGCAGTATTAATACCCACATTTACTGGACCCAGTGCAGGAGTTCCTAGTCTTGAAAGTAACGTCACATCATAGTTGATCCTGTCAAGGAGCAGATTGAGTGAGGAAATGGAAAGAGCTTTTGAAGAAAATGGGTAAAATCAGCCATTGTCCAACGCTAAAACTAAGATACTGGGCTGCATCATCATTGGTACGACCCAGTTCTTCTCTTCCTAAACATGCAGAAATGTCATATTATGGCAAGGCTGAGTAGCTCAACAAATTACCTACCTGTAAGTCCAGCCAGGTCCATACGGCAGGCAGCTCCTTCTCAGCTTCTGCCTCCACCCTGTGAAGCATTCCCAGAAATGTGTGCGCAGCAGTAGAATGAGGGCCTCCCTACAACGCATGGAAGGGGTCACCATTGACAAATCAGAATCAGAGTGCTCTCCCAGGAAACAGGGGATCCAGGCTTAGCAGAGGATGAGCCTGGCTTCTAGGCTGCTGGTATCTCCACCTGAGGCAACAACAAAAAAGTTCTGCAGTCTCTTATCAGAGAACAGGGGCTCAACCTTACCCTCACAAACACGATCCACTGACGCAGGAGCTGAAGATCTCTTTTCAAGGCCCAGTTTGTTGGTTTGTTTTAAATGCAGGACTACTAGTGCTGACATCTGCAACTAGAGTGTACATCCTCCTTTCCTAAATGAGTCCCTCCTCACTCTCCCTTTGGCCAAAAATACCCCTCATTAACTCATCTTCGTCAATAGCTGAAGGCATATCAGCATGTAGCTCAGCATCCTCCCGGCAGAGGCCAGTTTAAAACCTGACTTCCCAGAAAACAGAAGTACTCATCATCATTTTGTCCTCTAAGTCTCATTTGGCTGCCTCTAAATGAATATAAGTAACTCTGATCTGTCCTTTTGAAGGAAAGAGTAATGCAAGCCTTTAGGCTGTGCACTACAGACACCCCAGCTCCCTGATTCCCCCACTCTCAGTTCCAAAGACAGGGAGGGGATCTGAAACCTACCTTGACTCAGTATCTTCCTTTCTACATGCCTCTTGCAGACACACACCATTTCAGATTGCCAGCAGCTCTCCTCTTAGTGCCCTTTTTCTCTGCATCTTGCATCTTCTTAATGGGAAAAAGCAACTTCATCCACTTCTGCTTCAGTGTCCTTTTAGGCAACTCTATGTTCAAGGGCTCCTCTCTTTTTAGGGACCCTGTTTAAGACTACTAAAAATGTAAACTTCCCGAGAGAAAGGCAGTACAGTGCATGCAAAGTGCCCCAAACTAAACAGATAGTGACTTTGAGTGGGGTATCATTAATTATATTGGAGCATCTCAGAGCTCAGCATTATTTAAACTGACTACTTGGTAGCAGATCTCCTTAAAATGTTTTGCTCTAACCTATTTCTATGGAAACTGCCAACTTTTAAACCACTCAAACGTTCCATCCCAGTCTGAAGGCAAAACAAAACAAAACCTTAATCTCACAATTTCATAATGCATTTCTAGCACAGGACAACCAAATATTACAATTAATAACTTGCAGAGAGGCACAAGTCACTGAACTTGAATGACACAGCTTCAGTGAAGCTGAATTCATCCCTTTGCAAAAGTGAATTGCAAGCTCTAACTACAAGATTACAAGATTTAAAGAAAACTGCATTAAAAGTAATTTGTGAATGTCTGAAAAATTGACATTATTTAAATATACACAACACATTCTGGAGAGTGGACTAAAAGCAGTGTCAGTGGACTAAAACCCGTGCTGGCTGGGCTAGATCCCCTGGTAGTCTCACAACTTCTTGCAGAAGTACATTTCCACACACCTATACATTTCTTCATGGGTGTTAGGTGAGACACACAGAACTGACATCAACTATACCAAGATAAAGAAGCAAAGAGTATGTATGTTGCCTTGTGCTCTGCTAATACTTTTCTGCATTACATGGTAACTGAAAGCCTGAGTGACAGAGTTGCCATAAATCCAACACACAGCAAGACCCGCAGATGCTTCAGTAATTGTGGGTGTGAAGGTTTCCACAAAAACTGAATGCTCCCAGAAGCAAGGCAGAAGCCAGGCAGCAATGTCTGTTGTCCCCATTCCTGGAAGGAAGGGGGATTCACAATCGGTTTGGAGCAAATAACTTCACAGGGTTTGCTGGCAGGAAAACCTTCTATTTTATTTACACTAAGACAATTTCCTTCCTCCTACATTTTCTGTGAGCGTAAAGGCAATAGGTTTCCCTGTGAGAATGAAAGCAAATACTGAAAACGTAGCAAGTGCTTGAATGTCTTGCTGAGTTGGAGTTTCTAACGGATGATTACTAGAAGAGTGTTTTGAAATACCATTATGTGCACACTTACACAACAATGCTTTTAAGAGGTGTACAGGAAAAAGTTGAAAAGTGCCCATCACTAACCACACATCCCCCAGCATTAATATGAGGTTCAAATAAATAAGAGATCTTTTACTTCTTGGGGAATTAGGAATTTTAGACCCAAAGCTACCTTCCAACTATTTTAAGTGGGTGTTCCTTCTTCATTTTGATGTCATTTTTGTATCCCCAGGGAAAGAGATTTTCAAGCCATCAGTTTCTGTACTTTTGAAGCCTTCTCTAAATTCTTTTCAGCTCAATAAGGTTTAGACAGGCAGAAGTGGGTGGATCAGCTTGACAGCCTGCATCCACTACTCAACTCCAAGGGTTTCAGTGCAACATGCATCTTGCATGTACCAAGGCATCTGTCACAGCTCTTAAACCTCTTAGAGTCAAGGCTGTTAGCTGGTCTAGAATGCTGTGGCTTCCACCAGGGGCCAGAAGGATTTTTAAGTAAGTGAAAAGCCAAGGGTGTATCCCTTTTTGCTAATTAAACACTCAAACAGGATTAACACACACAGATAATTATTATCTGAATAGACTGACGTGGAAAAGAGAGGTCTGTGTTTATTTAAGCAATGACACTGGAGGAAAAAAAATTGTAAGCACTGTCACTAGACAGGAAATCCAACTAGATTTCCCTTTTCAGCTTGAATATTGCTCACGTCTTGGTCTAATATGTCTCTAAAACTGTGAGTTTGAAATTTAAATTGCCTGTAATTTTAGCTATCAGCAATCCAATGACCAAGGATCTCGGGTCCCTGCACTAAAGAAATGCACTCCAAATGAAGTTATCAACACAATGTAATTTCTGTTCATTCTTCTCTTTGCTTTCTTTCTTAGTGTTTTACAGTGATACTTCTAAAGCTTCACTTTTCCTGTAAAGGGAAAGAAAAAATACGATCCCTGGATCTTTAAACTGAAGAGTGAGGAGTTTTAAACTGTAATTACCTTAGAAAGTGTAGGTAACATTTGCTGCCACAAATGAGTAAATACTTGAGTAAACACTCAGGTCAAGAAACTAATCAGCAAAATTTCTAAGAGTAATTTCAAATGCAAAATGCATTCTGTTATAGAAAATAAAGCCGATGATGTTACACGAATGCTTTAGCTTGCCTAATCCTTGATTTCTACAGTGCAAGTGACCAGCACTACATTTCATGCATGAGTATTTTTAAACCACTTTCTAGACACTTAAGCAACAAGGCTTCTTTAATAAGCAGCACTTAGTAAAGAGTCTTCTGGCACACAACAGCACTTACAGTGCAATAGAAAACCATCACTGCTGCTCACTCTGCTCCATTCTTCAGCAGCACTTCATTTTGATCCATAGAAATTGTCCCACTTTGAAAACATCAGGCATAAGAGCCAGCTCCTGAGCTTTCGGCAAAAGGTAATTATTAAAACAATTTGTTAAGTATACAAGCAGCTCACTTTCCAAGAGAAAATATTTCAACAACTAAATAACACTGTAATTACGCACGTGTAACATACAAATCCATCTAAAATGAGGAGATGAGAGCACGCTGGAGATGCTGAAGTCCCAGAAGTGAAACAGTGTCACGTGAACTGATACTCTGGCCCAAATTGTGCCCTGCTCACATGGTTGGTCAGTCAGCTGTGGCTTTCCCAAAGCATTCAAAAATAAGACAAAAATCACACAGTTTTAACTGTCTTACAAATTTTATAAAATGCTATTGAACATTACAAAAGGCTTTCTTTGATTGAAATTTATAAAACACCATGTAATACTTTTAAAAGAGAGATTATCTATATTTCAATACGTACAGGTAACAGTTTATATCAAAACTTTATGAAAGAGAAGAAACGTCAAGATTTCCTTGTTTATCTAATTAGAAGTATGTACATTGTCAAAAAAACCAAACATGAACAAGCCTAGGAATGATCATTCTTGTCTATAAAAATATGGAAGAGAGGTACCCCAAGTACCTCACCTGGCGACTTAAACATTTCCAAGCACAAGACTCAAGGGACAGTAAGTTTACAGTGGTAATCTAAAAACAGAAATTAAAACCTCTTAAAATCAGAGAAGCTGTCTTTTTTTCTGAGTGTTCCAGCTCAGAAGAATGATTATGTCAATTAACAGAGAAGAAAAAAAAAAATAATGAAGACTTGGTAGAAAAATACCCCTGAGATAAGGCCAAAACATGACTGCTTCTTCCTACTTGCTGGTTTCTTTGGCTTTTGGTTACTTTCAAGAGGCAATGTAGATGTGAAAGGAAATCTGTCCTCTCATAGGTTTTATCAGCTACATCATCAGCACAAATCATTACTCTGACAGAAGTGTTAACAACTGAACAAGTTGCTTTTTTCTTCACATTCTTACAATTTCTGACCCCAACACTCTATTCTTCTTTTTAATAAGCCTAATATTTTATTCTAACATTAGATTACCAGAGGACAGAATAGCAGCTGCATATTTTTTCTGATCACCATTTCCCACATCTTCCTTTTTTTCTTGATGGTTTTTTATAAGCAAGTTCTTCAAAAGCCATGCTTTCATCTTCTACTTCATTTTCCAAGTCTCTATCATGCACAAAGTCTGTATTTAAAAAGAAAACAACAAGAAATTGGAAAGACATGACATCTTCTCTCTCTTAATAGTATGACAAGATCTACCACTAGGATTTTATATCAGCAAAATACCTTCATATGCATACTGTCATGTTTAAGTGCTGTGTTTTACATGACAAAGGGCCTTGCTGCTCTAGTTGTTATTTTTACACTCAACATCTGTTTTGATGCTGTAGCTTTTGGCTTTTTTAAGAAGAGTGCCTTTCCCCTCTCAAGGTTCAGTTTCAGCAGTAAATACATTTGCTTGCTGACTTCTAAAGAGGGAGTGACAGGGTATAATGTTGCTTGTAAGACCATGAGAGCATTCTCATGCAGTCTTATCATTCTGTCATTATTGGAATAGAAAATTGTAACACAAAGCTTTATCACAATAAAATTCTCTAAAATAGAGTCAATTTGGTACTTTACATACCGTGCAACTTGTAAGCACTTTATTTCTGCTTTTTTATACAGTTCTTGCAATTCTACCACTGGAATATGTGCTTAACCTTAAACATATGGGTAGGCACAATGAAGTCTTAAACTTGCCTAAAAGTCTCTAATGCAATTGATAGCATCCAAGCATATTACTTTTGATCTAACACAAAGTAAAATGACCAAAACCAAAAGAAATCTAACTGCATATATTTTTACTTCACAGAGGTCTTAGAACCAAGCTGAAGATCAGTTTTATTAGGACACTGGTTTTCAAGTACTCGGGGACCACTTCACTGCCAATAAAAGCAAAGCACAGTTAAAAGCAGGTGTAATAAGTGAAAACGAAGACAGCTGCTCTTCTGTCCCCTCACTCAAGTTTCTATCCTAGGACTGCCCTTGAGCCATAGGTACACACACAGCTGTATGCACACACACACACACACACTCACACATACATGCTCCATGCAGGCTGGGACAAACTGAGTGCCAGCAGTGGGGCCCTGCTCAGTCTGAGTCGCCCTGCAGCCAGCTGAAGACCAAATACCTCGCACCTTCCCTAACCCCCCCGTGCAAGTGCCTGTTTATCATTGCCTAATGTTCTGTGTTGCTGTGTGAATATCCACAGCACTGCTGACCAGGGGAGTGAAGCAACTAAAGCTAAGAGACCGTTACCAAACAGAGACCACTAGAGGGCCCAGAAATCTGTGTAATTTCAAAACGTACCTTCTTCCTTTATTCTCTGTAAATCCATTTTCTTCAGCCACTTACAAGCCTCATCAGTGACAGCAAACAATTTGTTGGCATGTTCAGTTATTATTTCTTCAGCTGGAATGGAGCACAATTAGCATTCGGTAAGAACACCTGAGTGTTCTGAGTGACAGACAGGAGCTAAAAGCCAAGCATGCTGACACAAACATGTGTACAATAATGATGCAAAGCAAGAAGTCTTCATCTCCAGTGATTTCATGTACAGACCAAAGTCACTACTGGGGATGAAGAGGCTGTATGTATTACTCCCCAAGCCAACTGACACTGCTAACACAGAGAGCAGAAGATCACCTCTCCATCCTTGTGCGGCCCTTTCAAGGTGTACCTGAAACTCTTGGACGTATTCTGGTTTATCTATTTTTGGAGAATGAAAATTTTTGGCTTTCATTATCCCTCTGAAATTCTACGTGTCAAGCAACAAGGACAACTGTCATGGTTCACTGAGCAGAAACCTAACTAACGAGCAAAATTTGCACATTTTATCCTTATTGAAAAGGTTTCAGTTAGGAGTGAAGATAAAGCTTTTACAGTAAAGTGAAGACCACAACCTAACATTCAGTTACAGATTAATACAGATTACCAGTATTGTGCTGGTAAGAGCTGAGGAACACATAGAACACTACAGTTTTTCATTACTGCCAGCCATCACAGTGACAACTTGACAGGGTTGCTGGATTTCTACGCTAAAGCCAGTAACAATATTTTGATGTAAGATGTCACTTTTGCAGAGCAAGTACCCCAAACAATTTTGCTTCTAGGCTACTCACTTGGTGATTCAATTTTGCTTGCAAAAGTCATCACAGAATGATGATTTAAGCAATGAGAAAGAAATCCTATATCAAAGTATGTATCTCCTAAGTACCAGAACTTACTGATCTCTGTACTGAAACATGTAGTGGTTTTTTATTTCTTTTGACCACATTAAGATTTGTGAATGGAGCTTTGTCACGTCTAGAAGTTTGGCCACAAGTGACATATTTCATTGTTTAAAAGAAAAATGAAAAGCCTCACCTTCAGCCCAGGCTTTTCTCTCATAGATTTCCTCTACTGCATCTGAAATCTTCTTAATATTCTCTTTGATTTTTCTCTGGCGTAAGTTGGAACCTTCTTTATAGGCTAAATGGTCTTGAGTATAAGTCTTTTCTGTAATGGCCTCCACTACATCCAGTCCGTCACGTATTTTCGGATCTATCTTTCTTCTGAAAAAGTCAGCATAGTTTTTGTAGGCAGCATTATTATTTCTGTGTTCATCTGTGTTTCTGTGCTCAATATAGGCCTCGTTGGCTGCAACAATTGCATTTCCTTCCACCTGCATCTTTTCTTCTGTCGGTGTCACAGCTTCGGCAGTGTCTGCCTCCACGCTTTCAGCCTGGCCGAAATAGTTCTCAGAGCTCTGGATAAATCTGACTCCACAGAGGTCACACTGGGTTTGGTCAATATCTGCTTTTTTGAAGATATCTGATAAAAATTCCTCTCCTTTCACTGCTACAGGCTCTGCTTTGCAGCAGGCCTTCCTTTTCCACCTCATGCACACAAAACCAAAGTGGAAGACGCGATACAGCTGGCGTAGAGCAGATGCTTTCTGCTCTTGCTTCTGTTGCTTGTTGAATGCAATCACTTCCAGGGGATCCTTCTGGTCCTCTAAGCACTGATCGCTTTCGAGTTCCTTCTCTATCTCATCAGCATATTCTGTTTTATCCAAAGAGGTTATAAACCTGTCAAAATTTACGTTTTCATACAGGATACCCCGGATGGGTGCATACCCCTGAGCATACACACAGTCCCACCTCCATCGGCAGTCAAATAAGTACTCCTCATCTCGCTCTATCAGAAGCTCTTGCAAGCTTGCAGCGACTTCTCTTACACTTGAAGCACCAGCCACTTGTTCCACGACCTTCAGTAATCTTACAGGCACTTTTGAGGGAGAGTCTTTTCTCATTGATTTCAGCATCGCCCTTATTTCAGGAAAGAGTTGGCTTAGCAGATATTTACACATAGAATTCTGCACCTGATCAGCATTCAGTATCATCACTAAGCTCAGCACTACAGTTCGCTCAGCCTCTCCTGAAGTTACACAGTCGGGATCCTCAAAAGCATCCAGAAGGACGCTGAAATTCTCATGAACTCCACACAAAATTTTTGCCAGGTAACAGAGATGAAATCTGAAATTCTGTTCAGCTACAAGTATGTCTTTTGGTCTATACTCTTGTATAATGGAAAATGTCTCTGTGAATTCTTTGCTACGGCCCTTGTTTCTGAACAAAAAATCCCAATAATGAACGAGAGCAATGTAACTCTTGGGAAGGCACAGAGTCACATTCTTGTTGAGTCGCATCAGCACAGCACAACAGATAATATACTGGAATTCCAACAACATTACTGTATTTCCTATGCTTGGAATCAGGTACCTTGTGCATTTCTTGACCAGGACGTTCATAAATCGGAAAAACAGCCTTTTACAGCTTTCAGGGTTCTTATAAACATAGAATTGTTCAAATGAACTTTGAAGGAGTCGAATGAAGCACAAGTGTGTTCTCCCTGCATTTTCAGTTTTCTTGTCAGGTTGCAACATACCATGCCTGCCATCTATTCCTTTGATCTTTCCTCCTTGGCTTTTACTTTTTGGGGCGTTTTTTGCCTTTGACAAAGCAAGGCTTAGCTCTCTGTTATAATCGTCCTCTTCCTTAAAAAGCAGCTTCTCAAATTCTTCAGGATATCCGGAAGATAAGAGAAAAACTTTCATGGCACTTAGCCACAAGTCACTTGATTCTCTTCTGGCTCTAGCATCTTCATTTTTAAACTTAAATGAGATGTATTCATTCAACATTGCTCGACATGGTTTGGAAGTAATGTTACTAAATCCCAGTATTTCTTTACATGCCTTTGGGTTCTCTGACAGTATTCTCAAATGGAAATGACTAGGGAAAAATGTTTCGAGAAGGGCTTTACATGACACATACTTGTCAGAAGTCAAAAGACCATCAAAGCTTTTGCAGTGACTCAGCAGCTCTTTAGGGAAAGTGTGTGTGGCTTCCAAGAGCAGTCCATATATTGCTGATAGATGCATTTTACACTGAAATACCATCCTTGCTTCATGGCGCATCAAGGGCTTATGAAAATCCTCACAGGTTGTATCCTCACAGTTCAAGCCAACAATGAACTTCATACAAATATCGGGGTAATGCTTGTTCAGTAACTCATGGGTGATAGAGCACAACCTGCTTAGCAAGTGCTGCTTCAAAGCTGATTTTACTGCCTCTGTGCTTACTGAGAAATTGCCTTTTGTTTTCCTCTCTTTTAGACTTGCCTTATCTAACAAAAACTTGAGGATGGGTTCGGCTTCATTTTGAGACACCTGGCAACAACTGTCACCTGTTGGGATGACACCAAAATAGGCAAAGCATGACTTTACCATATCTTTCTCTACATTGGTGGTTGCTTTCTTTAAACTTTTAACCAGATCCAGGAGAGCCATTAAGCCATGTGTCGCCTTACAGAGGATGTCCTGGCTTGGTGCGCTGCAGTGAGAGAGCACAAAGAGAACTTCAACTGCACCAGCAGAATGATTCACAGATAGAAACTGACAGTATGCGTTGCTCAGCTTTTCAAAGTCTCCCTTCAGAGCTCCCTGCAAAAACAAAGCCTCAGCAATGCCTGACTTCTGATTAGTTTGTTCACAAAGCTCAAGGGCTTCTCTTAGCATGACCTCTCTGTCCACCAGGTCAGAGGTGGACTCTGAACAAGTTGTACCAGCACGAACTGCAGCAAGCAAACAAGATGCACGAAACTCCTTTACTGCTGTGAGGTTAGCTGCTTCAAGAGCAAACCCATGTTGTTTCATTAGTTTTGCAGCTTCTTCTTGTCGACCTTCTCTTTTCAGTAAGTCTGCAGTCCGGTGCAAGCATCCACGAGACTTCAGAAACTCAAGCTGATCCTCTATGTCAAGTTTTGAGAGGACCTGCATCATTTCCTCAATTCTGTTCACACACAGGTACTTTGCAGCTGCTTCCAAATACAACTGGTTTGCTGTACATGAGAGTTTGGATACCATTTGTCCTCTTGCACTTAAGATCTCTTCATATCTGAAATAAAACATACGTCAATTTACTACTACGGATGATCAACCTAGACACAAAATCACTGCCTTTTTAAAAATTGCCCCAACAAGGAACAAATAGCTACCCCTAGACTCTCTTCCATGAAAAATGACAACTAGTTCAACTATGACTATTGTTTATCATGAAAAAAAACAATCACATAATCCCAAAACATTTTAAAAAGGAATTTAGTTAAAACAACAGAAGGTTGCCTGAAACAAGAACATTAAAACTTCTGGTAAGAACAAGATCACGAGGTTTACAGCATTAATTAATCTTTCTCCACACTGACTAATTACTTCAGTCACATTTTACAAGTAATAATCTGCTTGTTAAAGTCACCCTCGATGTAGAGTGGTTATTTACATGAACAGGGACCAGAAGGAAAATTGTCTTACGAGGAACAGCTGACAGTACTGGGATTGTTTAGGCTGGAGAAGGCTCACAGGAGACCTTATTGCTCTCAACAGCCACCTGAAGGGAGGTTGTGGTGAGCTGGAGGTCGGCCTCTTTTCTAAAGTGACCAGCAGCATGAGAGGGAATGGCCTTAAGTTGTGCCAGGGGAGGCTCAGGTTGGATATTAGAAAGAAATTGTTCTTAGAGTGGTATGTCACTGGAACAGGCTGCCCAGGGAGGTGGCAGAGTCACCCCCCCCCCCAGAAGTGTTCAAGAATTGTGTACATGTGGCACTGAGCGACATGGTGTAGTGGGCATGGCGGGGATGGCTTGACAGTTGGACTAGATGGCCTTAGAGGTCTTTTCCAACCTTAATGACTGTATGAAATTAGAAAATAAATCAGTTCTCCACGAGGCCAAAATAGATGGTATTCTGCAAAATGAACATACACCAGTCAGTGTAGAAAACTGTTTCAAGTCTGTCATACATAGACGTTGCTGCTTACTGAGTGCCTGAGCAAAGTACCTGGCTGCATCTTTCAAAACACATACTTTGAAACATTCAGTTATTAATTACTTGTGGCTGATGTCAATTTATTAAGATACTCTATAAGCCAGTCTTGCAAAAGGATTCTCTCTTGCATGCTGAGAATGAATAATGTCCTGATGAGTGTCTCCAGTTGCACTGCCTGCTTTTCTTGTTGCATCTTTTAGCAATCAAGTGCCTGTCACCTGGGTATGCACACTGGCTGTGTGGTGGCTGTCTTTTCCACAATAATCCCTGCAATCCCTGCAGCCTGACCTGCCCTTAGAACTCAGTAGGCAGTAGCAAAAATCAGTTCTCTCTGGTTGCTCAACTCCATGAGCAGCTGTCGAACACAAAGGCTTGCCAAGCAGGATACGTCTCAGATGGGTGACACTCAACAAACTTTGAGACAAGAATGCTCCATACAAATCTCTTACAGTGAGTAAATTGTCATTAGCTTTTCATTACTATTACTTTTTGTGATAAACGTGGGAGTGCAGATCTTTGTACTTTTGATGATGAATTCATATAAATGATTTGGGGAGGCTGGTTTAAAAAAAAAATCATTAGTAAGTAAGGTGAGTTTAATGCTTGAAGCTTTGGACCAAACTATCTCTACACACTAAACCAGCTTTAGTCCTTTATTACTATTATTAGACATTTTTGTTATATTTACCATAGAAACCTAGTTCAGAGGACTGGTCAAAGAAGAATTTACATGACCAGTAACACAGGACTGGAAAAGAATTCTAGGAAAATCAAACTAGTTTCCGGGCAAACTGTGAATGCAGTAGAAAGTTTTGCACATTATCATGACCCCAGTGAGAATTCTGACAGTTAATAAATTTAACTTTATATAAAACAAAGTCACCAGCCAAAATTCTCATTAAAACCTATGGAGAACCAACTGTCTTATGCTGAGGTTGGAGATGGAAAAGAGAATTATTTTCCAACACATTACTGACAGATACCTTTCAACTGCCTTCGCTGCTTCTTCGTAGAGCTCCTCTTGACAATACATCTTAACTGCCAGATCAAACTCCTCGATTTGTTCATAACATTCAGATGCTTCTTTGTAGCACTGGTTTTTCTGATAGTACACTGCAGCATCTTTCATCTGCAATGCAGATGTCAATAGTGAAATCAAAGGGCTCTAAACAGCCAAAACTACACGAATAGAATAAAATTAGTAACTCTATCACTTGGGCGTCTCATACACAAGCACACTCTAATAAAAGGTAATCAAAGCCTTTTAACCTAATCAAGTACTTGCTAAGTAGCCACCAATAAAACTGAAGAGATTTTTTTTTTTTAATTAAAATGTAAAAAGCCTTCAAAATACTTGCATTGGAAAAATTAGAACTTAAAATTAAGGATTTACAAAGTATTTGCCATTCTCCACTGCCAGTTATTGAAAAGCACACACATACTTTTGTTGAGTTTCACACTTCTCAAAATCAACAGGAGTAAATTAAATGAGAACAGTTCCTGCTGCCTTAACCTTGCATCCTGAAGTTTGAATATTTGGGAGCAATCATTTTAAGATATTTTGGTGGAAATACACTGCAGATAGAAACAAAAACCCTCACAAGCCTAGGAAATTGTTGTTCTCAGTACGTTTCTTAACCCATGCAAATTTCAACGTTCCATTTAGACGTCTGTAATCAGTGAAGCTGCAGCATCATCACAGTAACATACGAGAGAAATAGCAGCTTGTATTTTGTGAAATCAGTCAAAAATCAACTTTCAACTGCAAAGCAGAAATGACTGATGCTGACATTCGAGGAAAGCCAAAGAAATAAATCTAGACTATATAACTGCATTGTCCTCTTCATTTCTCTTAAAGCTATTCTGTGACAAATGCTTCCTTGTGAATGTGCTCATCTTGAATGGCCTAGCATAAGGAGCTGTTTTAGTTCAGCTAATACAGGTCACAGAAAGACACTGTTGCTTTACGAGCTCTGAAACAGATCACCTTTAAAAATTCTATAGGGACGTACAAGCACCAAATTGGAGGGGAAAAAAAGCTGTAGGAAAATGAAAGAGGAGAGCAGAGTGCAGGGTAAGGATGCAATACCTTTCCCAACTTTTTACACAGTTCTGCACAAAGCCGGAACTCCTTTGACTGAAACAGACATTTCAGTGACAGTTTTGGTTCTCCACATTCCAAGTAAGTTTTAGCCAATGTCATATATTCCATCTGTTTTTCTCTGTAGAAATAAGTAAGAGAAAATTATCCAAATTAAATGAAGTTTAAGATCACAAGATTATAACAAGAATCCAACCAACACTGACATAATGCATTCCTCTCCATAATTAAACTGATGAGGCATTACTTCACAATTAGCTGGATTTTGGACAAATGCTGCTCTGCCCAGAAGGCTGTTTTCCAGAATTTCATGAGCAGTAAAAAGCTCTTTATCAAATTCTCGAACCAAGTATAGTAAAGGCTAGTATGGTTTTGATTTCTCATCTTGAGCTTAACTTGTTCCTTCATCCTTCCTGCTGTTTAGCCCCTATGTCATTAAAGACAACAATCAAATTTGTTCTGTCTTTGTTTTATATGACTAAGCCTTCTTGGTGTCCATGCAGCCTATCTTCCTCCTAAAACTACTTTGAACTCACCATTCTTGAGTCGAGAGAATCAGAACTGTACAGAGCATCTCATACCATAGAGCACACAGGAATTTTATTCATGCTTTGTGCGAGAGCATTAACATTTTTAATTTTAGAAAGCCACGTTTACAGCTTCATTATTACGTTCTGTCAACGCATCTTGTTCTACACCAACTTTCTTTGTATCATCTTGTATGTCATCCTACCCTATGTCGATTTATTTTACAAGTTATCCTAGTTAACCTAACTTCTCAAATTCTGCCCATCTGACAAGCTTACAGCCTACTAAAAATTTCAGATCTATGCTTGTACTTCTTGCCAGTGCTAGTAATATAAAACGAGCCTTTTACAAAAGCTAATCCTTAATCAATTCCAGTCATAACATTTTTCCAGATTTTCCTTCTTCTTCCCTCAGTGCTGTGTTCCTCTGCTCTGGTCACATTCTGCTATAAGCTTTTTCCCCTCTCTTACACACATCAAATCTCAAACAGTTGACTTCAGAGAACTGCAAACTTTCTCTCCAGTCCAGCCCTGGAGCAATTTTGCACAGCTGACAGAATAAATAAATGATTCATCTCAAAATCTGTCCTCTTTTTAAAACTGCTCTTTGGTTCAGATGTAGTTCAGGTTGTTTAATTTAGACTGACTCAAACACTAATTCTATTTGAAAGCTCGCTCCTCGTTAGCAGCTTTTCTTCCCAAATGTAAAACACCATCCCTTCTTCTTGGTTAAGCAGTAGGATTAATTGAAATTGAGAACTGCTGATAGTATATGCTTTCATATCTTCATCTGAGAAAAAAAACCTCTTCTGGTAATTCAAATTCTGTTGCTTTTTCTCATGGAATCCTGCAATGGTCACATTTGTTTTGGACAGCCTACAGTTTACAATTGCCTTCACTTCTTCCCAAAGGAGGCAGCAACTCAGATCCTGCAGCAGCTGTGCTGAACTTTCCAATTTCTTCACAAAAAGCTGTAACAGGCACCTCACCTACATGCCTATTCCAGGTCTCCAGTGTGGTCTCACAGCTGTGGTGGGCATCCTCCCCAGCAGCCTTTCATCAGTTTGGCACCCCAGAATGATGCCCACCCGTGTTATACTCACCTGGGGCTGCTTTTCTTCGAGTGCACTTTGAGAACAGCATCGTGTGCCAGGGCCAGCTTTGACTTCTCAGCTGCTCCTCCCTTTTGGTAACATTTGGCTGCTACCTAGAGTGAGATCACACACAGAATTTATCCATGTGCATCCAACCTGCAGCTTATCACATAAAAGCAACTCTTAATTTTACAGTCGCTGTAATGGAAAACAGAAAGACCTCAGGGTGCATGGAAGAAGGAAAAGGTGAAAGACAGCATATTCATAGGAAAAAGGAACAGCTTTAAAGTCAGTTCACATGAGACTGTGTCATAATTAGAATTACAATGAAAGCATTTTATAAAATCGACACGGAAGCAACAGAAGCAAAATTCCTGAGAGGCTGATGGCACAAATAGCACACATGATTTTGAATGATGATCCAAGTCATTAATTGGCAAGTCACCAGGCATCTGCCACGTTAAATCTATTAATAAAAACTAGGAAAAACAACTTGTGCAAAGTTAAATCAGGCAATGTGGAAAGTTGATTCATGCTTTTACCATACCAGTCCCCCTGTGTGATAAGTTAAAGGGGATCACTGAGAGTTAAATATGCACCTAACAAGGCTGGCTTATTTATCACCTTTCTCATTTTCCCACATCATATTTCTTTATTCAAACCATTCATTTTGTGTTTCATTCTGTTGGGAAATTCCACATCCCAAGCCATTTACACAGACACACTGTTGACCAGACAACTTCCTTTTGTGAGCAGAAATAGTAAAAAATCAAGGTTATGAAAAAAAGAGAATGGCAGATAATATGGGGGTTATATTTGAGGTTTCAAGATTTTTTTTTCAACTTTTTAAATGAACAATTTTCTGTCCATTTAGAAAACTGCCTTTTTTCCTCTCAGAAGAGAAAAATACCATCCGTACAGAGGTAGTTTATTATTTTAATTTTTGCCTTCTTACAAGTATCTATTTTTCAGTGAAAAAAGACTATGCTGCCATCATCAAAAAGTGGAAGTCTTCCTTCTTCTATCACCAAAATAAGTATTCAAAACTGCTTTTGCACTCTGTTAGTTGTCATGCCAAATGTGAATTGTGTAAACTAACAATTTAACAAGTAAATAAATGTAAAACCTCCACGTTCTTTAAATAGTAAGGGAATATAACAATAATTTTGCTGCACTTTTTCCAGATTTCTTGCTGTAGCAAATTCCCTTAGTTCTGACATGTTGTTCCTCAATATGCATTTTGTATCCATCCCTAATTACTGTTAAAAAAACAAACAAACAAACGTAGAAGAGCACTGAGATCATCCCCAAATCAATACACTTCAAATAAGTGCCTACAGGAATCAATGTGTAATGATAGTGCCATGCATGTGGTTTAGATTCACAAGCTCCAGCACTTTGTATTGTTGCTGACAACTGTTTCCAATCATCTTCAATTTGTGCATATTAAAAAGTTTCCCCCTCCCTGCCCTGCACGTTTCTGTCTGTAATTTACAGACAACAGGCTGCTCTCTCCTTGCTTATTTCTTGCAAGTTGTTTATAATTTGTCTGCAGACATCTACAGAATCATAAACCAACAAATAAGAAAAGCACTGCAATTGAGCCACTGAAGGTTTACAAATAGTTTTACAGATGTACAAAATAAAAAAAAAAAGGAGGTTTCAGAATAGGCAAGAATCCTTATTTCAGCACATGCTACCACGTGCTCTTACCTCCCAGAACTGGTGTTTAGCATAGTAATCTCCCTGTGCAATCCATTCTTCTGGAGATGAAGTTTTAGCAAACATGCTATCATCCAAATCTAGAACATTATGGGAAAAAAACTGTTGTGTTAGAAGAGATAAATAGCAGAAATCAGTTGTTATGCACGAAAGCTAAGCACAAATATCTCCTAATATTCCAAATTCTATGTTTTGTGCTCACATCAGTAATGGTAACTGTGAGTTAAATAAATTTTTATCTCTTCCAGTCAGTCCTGGAAATAAACAAATAGTTTTGAAAAGCCTATAAAAATTCTGCTTCTTAATGGATAAAACTAAGTAAATCCACTGTCTTTATAGAAACCAAATTCTCTGATTTGGTAAATCTCTTTCAGCCAGCATGGTAACCCAAACTACCTTTAGTTCTGTGCAGGAAAAAATTATACCTATGAATTAGCAATTCTATTATTTATTAACACATACAAATGATCTTTAGAGCCCAAACAAGTAAGACCCACTGAAATCAGTGAACATTTGCAAGGGCAATATCAAAGCAGGGCAAAATCAATGGTCCCTCCCAGAGGGACCAAAGAAATTAACATTCTTTATCATACAGCTTGAAAGCAAGAAAGCATTCAGTAGGTTGCCTTGTATTAAACTCTTTTATGGAAGCTTTAGTATAACTTTACCTTTATTTTCATCTGTTTTGACAACTTGAACAAATCCTCTTTTGATGAAATACTTAAAAGCTGGCGCTCGTTTATCACTGTTTTCATCAAAGATCCAAAGATTGACCCTGGCTCTTGTAATGGCAGTATACAATTGCTTCAGTTCTCCATTCAGCATCTGAAGCAGAAATCACCACACACACACACAAATAAAATAGAATAAAATAGGGCAAAGTTTAAAAATAATAAAATAAATGCCAGATTACCTGATTTTTTATGAAGTGTCATGCTTTGCAGTTTTAAGAAAACAATGAATATGTACACAGAATGACAAAGAAAGTACCTCCAACTAAGCAAATCTAAATATGAAATACATGATTTTTTAGATACCTAAGCAACTATTCATACAATATGCAAGCAACTATTACCAGGAATCCAGTAGCTGCAGGTGTGACAGTCTGTATTGTTTCTAATCAACTGCACATGCAATTGCTTGTTTTTTTCCCCAGTACAGTTTTGAAAATATCTGATTCAAGTGAATATAAATAAAACATCCTTAATTTTGAAGTAATGACAATGATCTGAAGCCAGATTACAGTAATAATTAACACTGACAAGAAGTTTGCTATTTGTTTTAACCGCTGTATATATACCTGAAAGTCTAGTTTTTGTTTCTTACCACATTGCATTCACAAAAAAATCTTTAGAAATCAAGTTTAGATTATACAAGTAGGAACTACCAAAAAGATAACACAACCTCAATAAACATGTAACTAAAAGATTGATGTAATTCTTGAAGAAATCTCCCTACTTTTAAGAGTTTAGTGCAGCCTTGCTATTCGCAATGTTATGAAAAACTCACCTTGTACATTTCTACGTTAAAAGAAGTAGGTCTCTTCTGCACAGCAGTAGCATCCTCTAAAGGCATTTCAATTAGCAGTTTGCTTCCTACTTGCACATCTGAATCAGGAATGTAAGAAGAAATGATTTTCCATTCTTTGCTAGCCTAAAACATCAAAAAAAAAAAAAAAAAAAAAAAAAAAAGATTACATGTATACAGCAATCAGTACTGCCCAAAAATGCAAAAGATAAGGTCATATTTTGGGAACAATAAACCCCCACAACTGAAGACAATTTCTCAATTTTCTCAAGGAAGAACCTAAAGACAATCAAAAAAGTGGAATTCCATCTCAACACATGGGATATTAGAGAGTAACCTTCAAGACACGTCTGTATCAGGTCATCATCAGGTTTTCCTGACATAACTATTACAAAATGATGTCTCCCTGAGCTTGTCAGCCCAAAACAGGGGAGGTAAGCAACTCAGCTGAACACAGAATAAAGAAACAGAGCAACAAACAAAGCAAACCTGGATGAGAGTAATTGGCTCGAGCTGGCTTCAAGCTACATTCTCCTTTCCAGCAAGTGCAGATGTCTAAGGCTGCGACAGTGGAGCATACAGGGACTGTTTGGGAACATACAGGAATCATGTCTGAATGACATGGCTCCTCTGTGTACTGCCACAGTCGTACCATGCTTCTCTTGTCATTTCAGCATACTGCTGAATTAGACATCGAAATCCAAATCACATATAGCACCACGTGTATCAGTTGTCATCATCTGATATTAAACATGAAATCCTCCTTGGACAGCTAAAGCTGCAGATACACCCCTACAGTGGATGGCTCATCAAGGAGTACATCAGCTTAACCTCACCATGGACAAGGCTCAAGCTGTGGTCCTATGGCCAAGGATTCTTCTACAAAGCCCAACACTGCAGCAGGCAGACTTACTGTGCCTGCTCCCTGCCTGGGATGGGTTTCAAAGACACTGGGAGAATGCTGACAAGTTGCAAACTGCTGTGCTAAAATGTGCCATGTAAGAAATGTTTTCATTGGATGAGCAGCTGCCAAGTTTCCGTGGTACTACAGGGCTGACAAGCTCACTGAATCAGTGAGTTGCAGACAGGCTGGCCCACAACTCACTCACTTCATCCCAGAAGCACCAAGGAAACCTGCAGCAAGCAGCAAGCAGGCAAGCAAAGACAAGCAGCTGCTGTTCTTTGGATGGTGCACTTAAGAGGCATTTCACAGAACCACTGACTCAGTAGAAAAAGGCTGTGGATTACAAAAAGGGACATCTGGGACATTACCTTTCACAAACAAATCATCTGTGGTGATTTAAATCATGATGGGCTGGAGCCCATGGACAAAACAAAGGGGCTGAAGTCATGGAGGTGGATCTACCAGTAACGTGTATAGGTTTATGTTCTCACCATCACTGTGTACATTCATGAGATCTGACCAGTCATGCAATGAATTTATTTAGGCTCAGTGTGCAGTGCTGGTGATTGCTAGTACTGGTCTGAGCCACAGGGTTGACCCTAAGTCACCAACACATCCCCCTCCTTGAAAAAGGGTTAAAGAAGAGCAAAAAGATACTCATGTGGAACATCTAAAAGAGCCTGGTTGGATTGTGAGACAGGTACATGTGAGTAAATATGAACCTGCAAATGTACACAAACTTGCTTGAACATACATTCATCATGATTCAGCACGGCAGCAGATTTCTGTTGGCCCTCTCATGCCATGTAACAAATGCCAGATCCCAGTAGCACCTTTTGCCTGATCCCCCACAAAGCTAATAAAAAGAAAATCACATTCTAAAATGTTGTGTTGATTTTATTTCCTTTTTGGTGTTCAAAGGAAAGCTGACTACAAAGTGCTAAGTTTGTGCCACAAACTTAAAAATACACTTATATGGCTAAGACAGCTTTGTTTTCTGCAGCCCAGAGCCCTAAGTGACCTAGCAAAAATGCAGGACATTTGCAAAACCCATCCTGAAATTCTGCTTACAATAAATTATCAGTCAAACCATTTCTAAGCCTGTTACAGATTATAAAATGACAGCCAGATAATGGAATAACTTTGGGTTTTAGAAGTTTGGCTAATTTTTACTTTTAGATTATTCATTTAAATCTGCATCTCGAAACAAGACTCATTCCAAATCTCATTTTCAAGCTTCATCAAAACAAAATCAAGCAAATGATAAACAGCACATAGCAACATTTGCTTTCTTCACAACAGTTCAGAGATTCACCTTTTCAAATCAGAAACCTTCAGTGTGAACTTCTCTTCCCTACTTGTTTATCTACTAAATTCAACTCAAATACTCATGACTTGCCGAAAAAGTGAATATTTATATGAAAGCAGTTCTCCTGGTCTGACATAGAACAGTCTAACTAAATTAAAAATGCCCAAAGCATTCAACTCTGTATTCTGCTATTAGTTCTTGTTTTTCTAAGCTCAGCTCACATCATTCAAAACATATAACTTCGAGAAATCTGTCATGACAGCCAGTATCGCAATGTCCCTGAATCTCAGTAAGCCACATTCAAGTCATTTACCTCAAGCTCCCTCTTTTCACCCTCACCATATAGTGCTTACTTTATGAAAAACCACCACCAAGCTGCCCTCAGTTTTAATTTATACACCTGTGGTTTTCAGTTGCTGCTAGCCATCTCTGAAACACTGTTTTGAGAGCTCTAGCCCAAAGGGTATCTGTAGAGAGATATTCACACAGAATATTTAATTGCATGGTAACTCAGTCATGGGTGTTTATGAGCCAGCAGGCATCTCCAGTAAGGATACTGGCTACTGCCTGGCCACAGAGATTCATTGATGCTTCAGCAACAAGTGAGGCTGCTGTGGTCAATAGCTCCTTGTGGGGAGCCCTGAGGTTGCATCCCTCTGACTGACAACTCTCTCAGACACATGGTTTGACTTTTGGTAGCCCTATGTGAAGCCAGGAGTTGGACTTGACGATCCTTGTGGGTCCCTTTCAGCTCAGGATATTGTATCTCCACTAGGTGCTACTGGAAAACCTGGGCAGGGTCTGAGCTTCCTGGAGAACCACAAAGGGGAAAACAGGAGTAGACAAAACTGTCAGCACCTCCAGGAAAGAAAGCCTTCTTCATCCAAGGCCATCCTAGGGAAGATGGTCTCTGCTACAGACTGTTAGACCTTCCAAAGTTTTTGGAGTTAATCCATAGACTGCTATAGAGCATACTTCCCTTTTAACACACACACTTCCACCCTTCTGAACATAGTTGTTTTACAAAACCTTCAACTAAAACAAAAACAAAACAAAACAGCATTCAATTTGTTTTAATTTGTCCCCAGCTGACAAATGATTTCAAGTCTGTAAGCTATCACACACCAAAAAAAAAATCACTCTGTGAACACAGTAGTGATGCAAAGTAGGGGATCTAATGTGCTTTTTCAGCAGCCTTGTAAAAGGTGAAAGGTATGCAGGGATAGTAGAATGTCACTCCAACTGCTGTGACCTGAACAGGTCTCAGGCAAGGAGAGACACGCTGCAGGCTAACAGTATTCTTGGCATGTGGCAGAAGTGTGATCCCTAAGGCTCTCCCTGAAATTGCAACAGCCAGTCTGAAGAAAAATTCAGAACTAAGGGAAGTCAGGCTCGTTTCATAAAACTCCGAGTCTGTTTTCTACTGTGATGAAACTACCTGTCTTCAGAGGAAACTGTGCATCCTTCCCCAGCTGGAAAGGCAAGTAGATCACGTGTAAAATCAATACGTTAAGAAAAAAGGCAGAAAAGGGATAAGAATTAAGTACCTCTGAGTCTGTGAAAAAGTTATAAAGGAGCACATCATCAAATTCCAAGCCCTTTGCTTCATAAACTGTCAGTACAAGTGCCAAACTGAGTTCCTCGGGTATCTTCTCCTTTGCTGTTTCATTTGCAACTAATACTACCTATAATAAAATATATTAATAAAAATAACATGTTAGAAAGCCACAGACAGAAGGCATACAAACATGTCAAGATAATGCAAGAGGTTTCCCAAAACCAGGCAGCATTTAACAGAGACATTCCAGCACGCTACACAAAGCTGCTCCTAGAAGACTGACAAATGTGTGGTATGAGGGGACAGCTGCAGATCTGGTGTAGGATAATTTGGAGTTAGAAAAGAATGGGACAAGAATCACATGATGCAATAAAGAGCTGATAGAGCCAGAAATGCATTAGGAAGAAAGAAAGAGAAACCAATAAAACAACTGTTTCAGAGTTTTAAAGGCATAACTTATCAGTAAAATGGAAGGGATTAAGAAAAACCCCTGTGGGCAGCCCATAAAAAGTGATGATCTATTTAGCAGCACAGCTGGAACAATCTGCAAAAAGCCGTATACCTAAGAAAAGCAAACCTGATGTGCTCCAAATTCAATAGGCTGTGTTTTCCTTTTGTTGCCCCTCAGCAGAATTGCCAGGTCACTGAAACTGCAGGACTCCAACACCGTAGGCTTTGGTCCATCAAAGAGACCACAGTCCTTTGGAAGCCGATCAAAAGATTCTGGGAAATAGTACTGAAGCAAATCAACCACTCCAGACGCAAGGCTGAGAATACCTACAGTAAGCAGAATATAGATCTTAAAGTTCAATCAGACTGTCTCATACTCACTTGCAAGAGACACTTTTAAAAGATTTTATTAAAATATTGATTTTAAGAAGTATAATTACAAAAACAAACATGAGTGAGAGAAGAAAGAAGCTGTAAGGCCCACCTCATGTTTCTGATATTTTGAGTAGACCTCATTCTTGAGCCTGTAAAGATCAGAAAGTTTGCTACAAAGACTTAGCAGCGCCCTCCTCACAAAATGAAGGTCAAATGCAAAACTAATATGACAAGTAGAAGCAGCTCATCAATCCTGCAAAACCTAGCAATTTCAGGAAGGAAAGGAAGTGCATACAAGGGCATCTGATTACCTTTTGAGAAGTTACCTTCAAACAGACAAAACATACATTAAGCATGACTGTTCAAAAAATTACAATTTTAATAACATTTGTTTGTGTTTTTTCCAGTCGCCACATCGAAACAAAAAAGCTGATCATCTGATCTCTTAAAAAACAAACAAACAAACAACCAGCTGATTGAAGATGCTTTGAAATGGCCAGTAGCAAACCTCAAACGTTAGTGACACCTGAAAATCACAAGCTCAGATGATAAATTTCATACTCTACCTGAATGAGACCTGTAGTTTTGGTACAACTGATATATCCTTTTTGGTTTTCTAACACGCTGCTTCTTGTCCACGGTGTTTTTGCTTGCATAATGGAACAGTGACCTCAGATCACTAAACCGGAAAGCGACTCCTTTCATTATGCTCTGGGCAGTGTCACCAGTTAGAAACATGGAATTGGGGTCATTGATGCATTTCATTAACAGTGCTAATTCAGCCTGTGTGAAATCCTGAATCTCATCACCATAAAACTCATGGATGGACCATGGCAGCTCCCCAAGCTTTGAGAGCCTTTGAGATAAGTTATACAGCAAGTCTTCTTCATCAAAGTAGCCTCTCTGAGACCTTATCTGTTGATAAAGACAAAAGAGGTGATAGATTTCACTTCTGTCTTCTGTGAAGTTTGGTGATCTCTTCCGGCCCAGTTTTTTGTACTGCTCCTCTGTAAGTTTACCCCCGAAGCAACTCAATGCCTCAAAAGAGCCTTTCAGAAAGGACTTTATTTCTTTCCAAACAAGTGCAGGGTTGTACAAGCTTTTACCTTTTATCATTTTTGGCCAAATTTCATTTGCAAACAAATCGTAAGTCACAAAAGTCCGAAGGTCACTCTCCCTAGAGTATCCATCAGCAGTTCTTTCCTCATCACCATCTTCGGCTTCAGCATTACCCTCTTCGTCTTCACCTTGCCAATTTGGTATCACCAACTCTTCCTGGGGACTCCAACCAACAATGGTTCTCTTAAGGCTCCCATCCTCATTCCTTGGAAAAAATGGGTCAGGCATAGATGCATCCAGTAACAGCAACAACTGCTTGGAGGTGACGAACAGTGGGAAATTTTCATCTTTAACGTCTTGTAGCCTGTGAACATTCGGCTCCAGAGGCTTGAAATGACTGGTTACCTTAGAAGACTTGCTGAGTTCAATGAAATTCTTCTGAACTTCTTGGCACAAGACGGGATTTTTTGTTACAAAGATCTGGTGCAGATGCTCCAGTCTGTTTGGTTCTTCTGAGTTACACGTTTGGTCTTCTTCACGGTCATCACACGGATTTGTTTCCGTATCAGTTGTGCCCGTAGCAACTTCTTCATCCTCAGTGTCCTGGTCTTGCTCCTCACTCACCTGCTCCTCACTCGAATCATCGCTGTCTTGTTTTTCTTCACACTCTTCGTTTTCTAACCTAGGTTTTTCAACATCGCTGCACTGTCTCTGCCGCCAAGTCTGCCTCTCCAGCAGAGGACTATTTGCCATGGTGGATTTTTCCCAGTACGAATAAAATTTCTTCCAAAGCCTATACAAGCAGCAAGTCGTCTTCCCAGTCCCACTTCGCCCAATTAAAATGATTGGTTCCATGGGCTTTGGATTGAGGTCAATTACTGCGTACTCCAATTCCCCAACTCGGAAAGGGTACTCAACAGCAGAATGTACGTCATTTATAATGTTAAGTGCCATGTTAGTACTGAAGCTGTGAAATTTCATTATATTGTATTCCATTTCTGCTGCACTGGCTGGAGGGAAATACTCAGGGATAGTATGTTCTTTTGATTTTTCCCTCTCCAAGTCTTCAACATAACAACGTGGAACACGCTTATGTGTTGTCACATTGTAGTTCTGATGTCCTTCATTTATGCCTTTGAGCTTTTTCCTTAAGATGCAAGATAACCCACGATTGTAGGACAAGCATATATTGTCCAAAACACGGTTCAGCTTGCAGTGATCAAGAACAATGGCCCAAATTCTGATCATTTCTGTGTAAACTCTTCCTGATTTTTCTAGAAGACTTTTTGTCTGTTCTGTCTCCATAATCTTTTCTGCACTCTCACTGCAACGAGGAGAAAAGTCAATCGCAAGTTCCCATAGCATTCTTGCACCTTTCCCCAGTTTGGCTTCATAAAGCTGGATATCAGCTTTTAAATGTTTCAGTGGCTTCTGAAGACCCCTAGTCCATTCCCCGTTGCCAAGCCTCTTAATTGTCATTATAGTTTTAGTTTTCAGGTAATGAGGTACATCTTTGCTGCCCAAGGTCTTCAGTGCTTCAGGAGTGCACTCTATTTCCCAAGTCATGTTATCAAACTCCTGCACATATGCCTCAACATCCAGAATCTTCTCTTCCTCTGGTTCTTCCTTCTCTCCATTAGACAGGCCCACACTAAATTCCTGCACTCCCTTCTTTTTCTCTCTGTCATCTCCTTTTCCTTCAGAATAAACTATACTTCCACCAAGCTGCAAGGATGCACTTTTTCCCTCTTCCAAATTGGTCTGGCCTGAAGATTGTTTTTGTACCACAGAATTATCCTTCCTCGGGGCATCGCCCCATTTCAATTGCTGAATTAGAGTTGCAATTTCCTGCACTAGACTTTCCTGCACAGTTAAGGGGTTGTTTATCTTTTCCATTTCTTGCTTTGACAACTGATCATTTTTTGTCTTTACAGAAGACAGAGTTTTTACATCATTACGTGCTGTGTTGCCAGATGGTACTTTCAATAAGGACCCAGAAGACGAACGTCCTCCATTCTTTGTCTGTGACACATCAGAAGCTGGAGTAGGCTTAAGTGTTTTAACTGACTGCCCTGCTATATCCTGCCGATATTTCTTCTTCTCTGATACAGCAGTATTCCAGGCAAGTAGCAGTGGGTCATTTTTCTTAATTCTGTGCCTCACGTCTCTTCCTAATTTGTTCTTTATATTAAAGTTAACATCAAATTTTGCCAATGAATCCATTATTCTCTTTGTCTGCTTTGAAAATCCTCTCTGAAAAATAACATGCATCACTGTATTTCCACTATCATCCTGTATATTTGGATTAAGATACGGAAAGTCAGAAGGTCTTGAAGCAAAGAGATCAAGCAGATAGTTCAGGATGTTTATGCCAGTGCCATCTGAAAGCAAGAAAAAAATAAATCAGTTGTATTCATTAAATAAAAAATAAATCAGTTCAACGATTCATGGTAGGCCAAGAATTTTTAATGCTTTTTTTTTCTGCAAAATCAATTTGCTTTCAAAAGATAAATTTTACATCTTGTGTTTTTAAAACAAGTTTGTTTGAAATAGCTCAAAACAGCTTTTCTAAAGTTCAGAAGAAATCATATGGTGGCAGCAAAGCTTTAAAAATCTCTAGTTTTGTAGCTGCTTATGGAGCATCAGTCAATTTAATTCCTTTTAAACTTCCAAGTCATCTTCCAGTATCAGCCCTGACAGCTACCAAACAGAAGATGGTGACTCTGGTCATCAAGAAAACAAGCAGCTCTGATACAACACTAGGGTCATCTGGTTCATTTTACTACACTACCCAGAAGGAATCTGCAGCACGTAGTTTTGAGTTACGTAACTAACCTGTGGCAAATCCCAACTATTTCCTGATACCTGAAGTTCCTAGTGCAGTTTCTTACTGAGTAAGATTAGCCTGATGCTTCTTTAGGAAAAAAAGAGAGAAAAAAAGAGAGAAAAAAAGAGAGAAAAAAAGAGAGAAAAAAAGAGAGAGAAGGAGAGAGTGCTAATGCTACAGCGTTCCAGTTTTAATCCAAATAAATATGTATATGTGTATGACTTAATCCAGATTACCTGAAACATTTATTTCCTAATGAAAACAGTAATTCATCAAAATCATTATAGAGGAATTTCACCTCAAAAACTTTGCACAGTGGAAAATACTTAGAGAAGACACCAGGTTTAAACTCTTGATTTAAAGTCTATAACTGACCTATGTTTTTAATCCCTCTAAAACTATTAATGAAATGTGCATGCTTTATAAATAAATAAATACAGTGCTTTAAATTATTTTACCCCTTCCAGTCAGAAATGCATTTTTTACTAATTTAAAATTAAACCTAAATTTGGGGCTTTATTTGACAGATTTTCAGGTTTTCTCACATGTTTATGTAAGCACTACAGTCCTTTCACTCACTCCTCTCAACAAAACTCTGCTTGAGTTACAACTGAACAAAAACAGTCAAATGGATTTCAGATGTCATTGTCAGATTTCCTTCAACGTCTGCTGATTAGCCCTGCTTTTTTCTTTGTTTCTTTCTACATACTTCATATTTAAGCCATTCCCATTTTAATACAAATTTTACAGGTTTTCAGAGAGGAGCTTTGCTTTCTAAGTCAGCTTGATTAAATAATAATACAGTCAGAAAAAAAAAAGAAAGTGATGGAAACGTTACAGCTGCCTCAACTCCATCAATCAATTGACCAGCCATTAACCCTCCTCACAGCTCCAGGCACTGCAAATTAAAAGCAGTACATATCTTCTTAATAAAGTTTTTTGTCCATACCCTTTGGCCTACAAACTCTGGGGACTGAGATATGGCCAAACATCCTGGTCTGCTGCCTCTGCTATCACATGAAATAAACAGCAGAGGAAGTGGCACTGAGCTGGACAGGTAAGAAATGAGATCATGAATCATCGTATCACAGAATAACTCAAGTCTGAAGGACATCATAAGGATGATTGAGTCCAACTCTAGGATCCACACAAGATCAACTCAAAAATCAAACTGTATGTCTGAGAGCCCTGCCAGACACTTCTTGAACTCTGGCAAGCTCGGTGTCATGACCACTGTCTTGGGGAGTTCCAGGGCCTGGCCACCCTCTGGTGCAGAACCTTTTCCAATATAAACTTTCCTTGATGCAGCTTCATGTCATTCCTTTGAGTCCTGCCACTGTCACCAGAGAGCAGGGATCAACACCTGCTCCTGCATTCCCCCTGTTAGGAAACTGTAGGCCATCATGAGGCCTCCCCTCAGTCTCAGTGGCTGAAGAAACCAAGGGACTGCAGACACTCCTCATACATCTTCCCCTCTAGATCCTTCACCATCTTTCTAGTCCACCTTTGGATACTTTCAAGTAGTTTTATGTCCTTAAGGTATTTTCAACATTTGGTGTGAAAATGAGTGATGCCTTCCTGCTAGAGATATTTGTGTCCCCTAGACTTAAGCACACAAAAACTTTACCTCTTTTATCTAAACAGATGTAGACTGCTGCATGCAAAGGAGTATCTCCTTTTACAAAGGAGACATTCTGAGGATCTGCACCCTTGGTCAGCAGCAAATACACCAGTTCAAAGTAATTCTTCTTCAGGCAGATATGGAGTGGTGTTTCAGATTTGGCTCCGGTCCCATCTGGCAAAGCTAGTGCAAAGGATATGAAAATAACAGGGGTTAAATATGATAAACCAGATCTGCAAACTACAGAAAGTGCTTGTCAGAGAAATGTACAAATTGATTACTGTGCAGGCAGAAAGAGTTTTTGAGAATGAAAATCTTCAGAATCCCCTCTGGTCTCCCAATAATTTAAGCAGCCAGTCCTCCTGTTACAGCAGAAAAACACAGGCCAGAACTTCTTCAAGTAAGTTAGTCACTGAATGAAATAAGAAATCTCTTTGCAACCCCAGACAGTCACAAGGCTGCAGCAGGACCACGTGTCCCTAATTTATAGCTAGTATCAAGTTATAACGTGAAGTGAAAAATGGCAGAGTAATTCTAGCAATAGAACCTATGCAAAACAAGAAAAATGATCATGTTCACAGTTACTGAAAAAAAGATACTTGGTCATGCCCTTGAATTCAATGAAGTAGCGAATTACTTGTGACATGACAACAGACTTAACCCCAAGACTGTGAATCACATTTTCTACCAGGCTCAGGACAGGGGAATTAAAGCTTAAGAAAACTATAAACAAGGAAACGAGAATCTTTGGCCTTTTACCTCCTAATCTAACTCTGACAGCCAAAGATTTGAAAAACATCTTCCATCCTACATAGCCCTAATAGGTTTCCAATTAGCAGGTGCAGGAAAAGGTACTACACCTCAACAAGCTTCAGCACTTACACAGAGCCACAAAAACTATGCTTTCATATTTCTGAAACTATGCTGCTCCAAACATGCAAAAGAAGGTATCTTTTTAAAAAAGTAATATCCTAATTTTTTCACCTCCTCTTTCTACCAAGCATCTTATGAGGTGGACTCGCTCATCCAGTCTGTCACACTGCTGGATAATGCTGCCAATGTCAACATCTGAAAGACTGCAGGTTTTTAAGAGTCCTCCATCTGATGTGTTTTCCCCATTGGCTTTCCCTGTTAGCAACAGCAAAACTTCATGCCACATTTGCTTCTTCAACAACAGTTTTATGATGCTGTTAGCACAGGCCTGGGAGATGTTGCAAAGCACCCCTTCAGGAACTTCTGCAAGGCAAACAGAACAAAATAACTCACTCAAAAACAGGCAGTAAAATCCATCTCAATGTAAACAAATTTCAGAATAACGAGCTCATTAAATTCAAATCACAGAACAGCAAAATTCTACACTTGTATCCTTTTCTCTTCATGGTGGCAGACAAATCATTTTGAACACTTTTATTCATCATACTGAATTTCCGTGTGTGTTATTATGGGTTTTCACTGCAAAATACAGCAGTAAAAATAAGTAAAAGTACTCAGTTCCAGTAATATCAACTGTAGAAACAAGGAAATGAAGGAAGGATAAGAGAGCAAAAGCTGTATGTTAGCATGAAAACAATTAAGATGAGAAACGGGAACTCACTGTACCTTTCATAGAAGAAAGCAGCTTCAGAAATCTCTGAAACACATCTTCCTTCAATATATTTTTGTGATGTAACCCATTTTCAAAACTGCAGAACTTGACAAACTGTTCCAGAGCATCCAGGAAAGAATCGACTACAGCTTTTCTTCTGTCTTCCTCTGCAAAACATTACAAGAATTGAAAATCCAGTTCTTCATGGTCATGTTTTCAGGGCAGGGTTGTAATACATCGTATTATTATATTTTGTATCCCAAAACACATCCGATACACTCATTAAACACTCTTTACATTAATACATCAGGCTGAAAATTGCAATAGTAGGCAAGCTGCTGTACATGCAGGCAGGACATTGCTGCCTTGCAATGGTAAGAATTTTCAGAGTAGATGACTTAAGAACAGTGACAACTTCCAGCATACATTTTTAATCAGATGCCCTGAGCTTGTCTGAATCTTCACTGGCATTTAACAAATACAGCTGAAGAGCAATTTGCCCTTTTAAAACTAAACCAAAAAAAAAAAACCCCAAAAAAACCAAAAAACAGAACACCCAACAAACCCATCACAGCAAAATGACACCTACAGGTTTAAGATACTTGGGTAATGCAAAATTGCTGATTCTAAATCATGTCCTGATAACAGTTTTTAAATGAAAGACTTGGCATGAATTTCCTGTAACTTTCAGGGAATTTAAGTACATCAAAGATAGACAAAACAGTAGCCTTCCCCCCTCGGACAAAGCAAAGGGTAAGTTACCTTTTTAGCAACCAGAATTATCCCCAGGGGTAAAGCAGTGACTTGCTCTCCAGTCTCTTGCTTTACATTAAGCCTAGAAAACTCCTGGGGCTGCACATAGGGGAAAATAAACTGACCCCCAAAAACATGCTGAGATACATGGAATGCCAACTAAAACAGTTACCTCTATAAGGGCAGCGTTGTAAACCTGAGAACCACTGAGCTAAGACCTGCTCTAGGAGAAGGGCAAAAGATCTCTACAGTAAAGAAAGAACTATGGGCATCTGCTTGCCAGGAGCCAGAAAATGCAACTGCAATGAAATACAAAGACTTCCAGTAAACTTGTACGTAATACACACGTGAAATCAGAAATATAGTCTATAAGTTTCACCTTTTCCTGACTTTGATCTGCCTGTGTAAGTCTTTTCCTTCATGTATGCCCTAAGAGCTGCATAACACAAATAAGTATTGGTTTGAAAAGGGCATGCTTTGAGTTAATATGGTAACACCACTAATACAGACATTACCTTGGCTAGGAAAACACGATCAGGCACCAAACCAACTCAGAAAGACTGTACTGAAGAAATGGTTTTAAGAAGAGCAAAATCCATGTTTGGGGCTTAATAATCTTCTTTTAAACCTTTCCATCACTTGCCACCTCAGTTCCTGAACCTCTTAAGTTCTGCAGGAACATCCTACCTAACTGGTAAGTCAGCTCTCATGTGGACACACAGAAGAGCTTCTCCAAACAGACTTCTACAATTGGATCCTTTGCTGAAAGTGTCTGTGCTCCCCCTCAATCTCCTTCAGAGCTAGAATGTAAGTACCAACCAAGCTGCCATGCTGCCAAGACAGCACTTTCTGCAGTAACCCTTCAGTGCTGTGGGAAGACAATTCTCCATCTCATGTCCTAACCAGCATCTCCCTGAGTACACCGCAGTACTCGGAGAGAGGTGCAGCTCAGGCTTATGCCATTTGTTGAAAAAGACAGGAAATTATCTATGGGTTTGTCAGTACTGATAGTTTGACACTGAGGTCTTATTGTACAATTCGCACGCTTTCTGATTTATTGATGTCAAAGCAGAATTCCCTGTTATTTGGGCAATCATGCACTAGTTTCTAGAACAGAAAGTTACAGAGAACTGAGTCCTTCTCAGAACTGATGGGCATTTATAAGACTAGACTGAAAACCAGTTTAATTTGTCAATTCATCAAACTCTATGTTAGCACTGGGAAAATTAAGATCAGCACCTTTCTATAAGACAACTGGTCTTTCACAAACTGCCCAGAAATAACAGTAATAGTTTTAAAAATAATTTGCAGTTTGCCCTTACTACAAGAGTGCAACTAAATTTTAGGTTCACTGCTTTGGTTATGGGAGGCTCTCCAATAGTCCACTCTGCTGTTCTTGTCCCTTCTCATGTGAAGAGATTTTAAGTTTCCATATAACACAGGAGTTTCAGCTGCATGTCACCCATGTGGAGCAATGACGACTAAAACTTTCTGAGCAAGGAGGATCTCTCACTAAAACATTTTGTTTTCAAAATAGGTCATTATCTTTTCACAGACCAGTTCATCACTTCAGGCCTCCTCTTTTTGGTCAACGCTTTTTCTTTATTTAAATAATTTTAAATATGTCATGGGTGTTTTTACTAAATGCTTCATTTCCCAAACACTAAAGTGAAGCTAAGTGGTCAAAACTGATAAAAGGATCAAAAAGATGCAGTTTCTATGGCAGGAGGGGAACCTTGTGCTAAGGAAAAAAAATCCAGCAATGGCTTATAATAACTTGCAGCAATTTGTAATTACTTACTGCATGATACATTAAGAACGTTAGCTGGACAGCAGACACCTTCAAGCAAGGACAAAATGTTCAACGTTGTCTCACCAGAGTGACAACACATACAGAAAGTTACATAAATTCCACCTACTATTGCCAATGACCAATAAAGCAATTTTGCATCCAAAGGTTTTAATTTAAGAACAGAAGAAGCACCGAGTCCACACAGTACCTTCCAGTTCCACAGAGGAGGAAGTGTGTTTCTCAATGTGACTGCTGACTGCTTTGACAGCATCAAAGTTTTTATTCTTTTTCAAAATATCTATGACGCTTCTTGCCCGTGCATCTGGAATGGTGGGATCAGCCCCAAAATTCAGAAGCATGAGCACATCTTCTGTTTGACCTAAAGCATTATAAGAAAAAGCATTAGAGGGGGAATAATTCTCATTGTTCAGGGGCTGCTGTGTTTTGTTTTCTTGTTTTCAAATGTGGCACAATTTCTAGCACACACACACATATATATATATATACTCACATATATATGTAAAATTCATCCAGTGTCTTAAGAATTGTTAGCTATTATACCAGAAGAAACTCAACAAACTGTTAAAAAATAATTATAAACTCTCTTTGTTATTGTAAATTGGGAAGTGGGAGCACTGAAACACAAAGTGATGGGGTGCCTCAAGAGCGTGCCGTTGATCAGAGGCAGTATGTCAAAAGCCCCTCCTTTCCTATGCCCCCATCCTTTCTCCAGTTTTTAGGCAAACTGCTCTGTACATAAAGAAAAAGCAAAACAGGAGATTTTTCTATTATTATTGTTATTCTGTAAGTCACAAGGTGACTTAACAAAACTCTCTATTTCACATATTCAAGCATGAATATGTACATCTGTGTACTGATTTTCTTTCCTGTGCAGCAGAAAACACTTTTGTGGTAACAAGCCTTGTAACAAAGATTCCTAATGTAACTAATGGCGTCATTGCTTTTAACAGATGTCACTTTAAGTGCTTTGAAATGCTATACAGAATTACAGAACAAACAAAGACAAATATAATAGTGACTGAAAGTTTTGACACATTGTTTAATAATTATTCTCGAAGATGAGAAGCTTTCCTCTTACAACTTCCCACTGCACTTCACAGCCCTGCAAGCAGCCGTACTGATCTTCCAACAGAACAGCTGGAGGAGCACAGGGACACCAAATCATGCAGTGCAAGGGAAGATGAAGAAACGCTGAGCAAAGAATTGGTAGATCATTACACTTCCCGAAGCACAACTCCACAGAACACAATCTCTTTAATTGCATGCACTGAAGAAAAAAATCTGGATGAGAAAAGAGTGATGCAGACTAATCCAGCTGCCATGCTTTGCCTGTGCAAGTCTTACTATTCAAGCCAACTTAGGAATTATTTTTTGTTAATGAGTGAAAGCAAGGGTTTTAATATATTTATGAACATATCTCTAAATATGTACATGGCCTCTTCCAGACACACAAGAGTCTTATAGTAAAAGATGTTGCAAAAGAAGTATGACTTCTTTCCAGGAAACGAAATTTGTTAGATAGGGACTGTCTGCATCTCATTCATACTATTAAAGAGAGCCATCAGAATATCACTGTGCTCAACGACCTCGAAGAGTGCAATTATCTTGGCGTTGATGCTTGTTTCCTGAGGCCACCTAGTGGACAGCATAAGAAATACAAGGTAGAATGCCAGGCTAAGTTAATGTAAAAGACACCTGACCGAAAACTTGAAGGACACCGTTTCATTTTTCATCTCTGACAAGATACACTGCTACTTAGGTTTTAAAGCTTCACCTGGTCAAAACAAAAAAAGAAGCAAACAAGAGAACGGAAAGATAGGTCTCTAGGAGGTCAAGGCATGTTTAGATTTAAAAGGTAACTAAAAACTGCAGGGTACTTACTGGAAAGTCATAACCAATCAAATCAAGAAGCAAAAATTTAAAAATGAAATATACAGACTTATAAGGGAATTACTGAAATGCTTATATTTAAGTTATTATGTTCAGATAACAGGACTTTCTCATTTTCTTCCTTGTATGTAGTAGTAAACACTGGGGTCTGAAATTCTCTGTCATTCTTCATTTTTCCATAAGGAAAAAAAACAACAACACAGGAGTAAGAATAAAGAGAAAGGAATTGCATTTACTGCGTTTCCGAGAATAGTCACTGGAAGATGCCACAATGTGCAGGAGAGTGCATCCATCTCTGTCTTGCTGGTTGATTCTATCCTTCAAGTCTGGCCTCTGAGACAGTAACCATCTGAAAATATGGTTCTTTTCTGAAATGATAAAAGAAAACATTTGTTATAGTAAATAGATGCAGAAGAAATAGATACTGGCTTTCCCCCTATGGAAAGTAAAGATGCACCTGTATGAAAGCTTTTCTCATACATGGGGAGTAAGGGAGGTAAAAAAAATAAGCAAGAGAAATGATACCATGAGCCAGCTGCATTGTGGGAGACCCGACACTAAGTTCTCACTGATTCTCAGCACGCATTGCTTACTTGACTCATGAATCTTCAGCACATACAGAAAATGTTGTTCCACACTGAGGTGGCAGGAAGAAATACTTAATTTTTGTCAAAGTTGGCATTCCCAGGATCTGAAAGAACCTCAATCACACAATAGCTCCAAAACACAGAAGAGAATATCCATTTAGGTTTTTATTGCTAACAAGCACAGATAACGAATAATTACAAAATTCTTAAAAATCACAGAATCATAGAACGGCTTGGGTTGGAAAGGACCTCCAGGATCACGTCAACAATTTACGGGCTGGTTCTGGCATGTACCAATGCCTCTGTCAATGGCTGAATCCCTAGCAATGCCACCCAGTTGGCGAGCTTCCCTACTATCTAGCCACACGCTGTTGGCCCCATTGTCCCAGCATCGAAGTAACCAAATAGCAATAGGCTCATTTGGGTGACGTGAGAAGTCTTTTCTCAGACCTCGAATTTCATTCATTCTCAGAGATCAATCAACAAGGGTAACAATATCTTGCTCACCTCTTCCAGGACTTTGTGTTGGTGACCATGGTCTTATTGAGGGCCCCTCCCCTGGGTTCAGGGGTATTTCTCCCAGATCTCGGAGCCACTCCTCTGGACCTCTTTCCTCCTCTTTCTTGTGTTCTGAGTCAAGATTCGTTTTTGTTCTCCATCTTGTTACAGGGGCGACTGACATCTGCTGTGGTGCCTCCTGTGGTTGATCAGGCTGATCAGTTCTGATGCTCTTACCCTCTAGCTCTGCTTGGAGTCTGTTTTGTTTGATTATGAGAGTATTTAGCTCAGATTGGAGGTCTCGCTCAGTTTGGAAGGTGTCGAGTCTGGATTGGAGGGAGTCTCGCTCGGATTCGAAGGCATCTCGTTGAGATTGGAGATTCCTTCTCTCAGCTCGAAGATTCTCCCCTTCGGCTTGGAGACTTTCTTTCTCAGCTCGGAGACACTCTAGCCAGGTTTATGAGATTCTCTCTCCTGGCTAGAAGACTCTCCTTCTCAACCTGGAGATTCTCTGTCTCGGCTCGGACTCTCTCCTGGAAACTCTCCTTTTCAGCCTGGAGACTCTTTCTTTGGGATTTCAGGGAGTCTCTCCCAATTTGGAGGGCATCTCTCTCGGACTTGAGGATATCCCTCTCAGATTGGAGGTCTTTTCTCTCAACCAGGGGACTCTCCCGCTCAGCCCGTAAATTCTCCCTCTCAGCTCTCAGACACTCTCTCTCAATTTCACAAACTCTCTCCCTCTTTGGGATACTATTGAATAAGGCCCAATAAGCATTAGCCAGGCCCCAAATCATTTGTGCCTCCTCAGATCTGCCTGAGCCGCAACATTCCTGTCTCAAATAAATGCTTAAGCTCTCAGGGTCTTTCAGGTGTTCAGGAGTAAAGTTCCATGACATCGAAGATGTCCATCTCTCTAAAGTCTCTCCCAAGCCTCTCCACACTCCTTGCCATTCAGTATTCCCTGGTTTTGGGGAGGGCTTCCTCAAAATACGATAAATACAAAAACTGACTGAAATAATGAACAGTACATTTAGGGAGATTAACAATGCGATCAGGTGAGCATTCAAAAACTGCATAAAGGATTCAAAGGAGAGACTGGGAACCTGTTTAAAAATCCCAAGTTCTGTGAAATTAGCAGCTCCCTCTGCAAACAGGTTTACAAGAGAAAGCAGAATCATTTTTTTCTCTCTTTACAGAAGCAAGATAGCAGCGCTCAAAGTTTACAAATATCCCAGAACACTGGCAGTCCGCCTAGACTTTCAAGGTCAAGTTTTCAGTGAGCACCGGTGAAAAAGATAAACTTTCCCAATGAAGCTCTCTGAGAGCAGAGAGAGATTCGTTCTAAAATACTAAAAAACAGCCTTTGCCCGCATTCTCCACCAAGAATGTCAACAGTTTAAGGGCTGGTTCGGCCCGGTTCCGTGACGAGCGGGGCAGAGGGATCCGCAGATCCGCATCTCCGGAAAAAGGGAAACAGGGGACCCCAAAATAATTTAAAAAAGCAGCACCGATCTGAGGAGAAACAAACTAATTTACTAAGTATATTATCGGAAGCAAGGTAACACACTATAATACAATATAATCAGAATTGAAGCTAATAAATCAAATATAATGAGAGAGAGAATGTCCGAAAGGTGGATAGGCCTCACCACAACGCTGAGGTGAGATGCGCAGTGCAGCTGAGCAGCAGGGAGACGGGAGCAGTGCCCACGACCAAGGGCAGGAGAGAAAGAGAAATCAGGTGACCTTGCCAGGAGTTAAACCTCCTCTCCCTGACCGCAAAGTCCCCTGGGGAATGTAGTTCTTCTTCTCTTCAGGGCAGGTACCCAGGACTTGAGCATTGACAGTTAAAGTCCCAGTGCCCCACATGATGTTATGATGTGGAATAGCAAAAACCAGAAATCACAAAACCATGACAGATCATCAAGTTCCAACGCCTCTGCCACAAGAGGGTTGCCAACCCCTAGATCAAGTACTAAATCAGGTTGCCCAGGGCCCCATGCAGCCGGGCCTCAAAAGCCTCGAGGGATGAAGCATCTACAACACCTCTGGGGAACCTGTTCCAGCACCTCACCATCCTCAGTAAAAAACCTGCCCCTGACATCTAATCTAGATCTCCTCACCTTTAATTTAAAACCATTCCCCTTTGTCCTTTCACTATCTACCCTTGTAAAAAGTTAATTCCTCTCATGTTTATAAACTCCCTTTAAATTCTGCAAGGCGACAATGAGGCCTCCCCACATCCTTCTCTTTCCCAGGCCAAACAAGCCCAGCTCTTTCAGCCTGTCTTTGTAAGAGAGGTGCTTCAGCCCTCAAATCATCTTTGTGGCCCTCCTTCACATCATCTCCAAAAGCTCCACATCTTTCCTGTGTTTCAATATTACATGTAAAGTCATGCCTACATGATACGATTTCATTATATTTGCTTTTGTCATGGTTTTATGACATGATGTGGGTGACGTGAAAAGTCTTTTCTCAGACCTCGAATTTCATTCATTGCCAGAGATCAATCAACAAGGGTAACAATATCTTGCTCACCTCTTCCTCTTCCAGGACTTTGTGTTGCCTTCGTAGGCTTTGGTGACCGTGGTCTTATTGAGGGCCCCTCCCCTGGGTTCAGGGGTATTTCTCCCAGATCTCGGAGCCACTCCTCTGGACCTCTTTCCTCCTCTTTCTTCTGTTCTAACTGAGTCGAGATTCGTTTCATTCTCCATCCTCTTACAGGAGCAACTGGCATCAATGGTGGTGCCTCCTGTGGTTGATCAGGTTGGTCAGTTCCGATGCTCTCACCCTCTAGCTCTGCTTGGAGTCTGTCTTGTTTGATTATGAGAGTATTTAGTTCAGATTGGAGGGTGTCTCGCTCAGTTTGCAGGCTGTCCTGTTCAGATTGGAGGGGGCCGAGTTTGGATTGGAGGGGCTCTCGCTCAGATTCAAAGGCATCTTGCCGAGATTGGAGATTCCTTCTCTCAGCTCAGAGATTTTCCCCTTCGGCTTGGAGACCTTCTTTCTCAGCTCAGAGACACTCTTGCCATGTTTTGAGATTCTCTCTCCTCTCAACGAGACTCTCTTTCTCAACCTGGAGATTCTCTGTCTCGTCTTGGAGACTTTCTCTTTGGGATTGCAGGGAGTTTCTCTCGATTTGGAGGGCATCATCTCTCTTGAATTGGAGGTCTTTTCTCTCAACTAGAAGACCCCCTTGCTCAGCCTGAAGATTCTCTCTCTCTGCTCAGAGTCTCTCCTGGAAACTGTCCTTTTCACCTTGGAGACTCTCTCGCTCATTTTATACTGTCTCCCTGAGACTCTCCCTTTCAGCTCTCAAACACTCTCTCAATTTCAGAATTGAGATCTCAGAGATATCTGAGATAGTACTGAATAAGGCCCGATAAGCATTAGCCAGGCCCCAAATCATTTGTGCCTCCTCAGATCTGCCTGAGCCACAACATTCCTGTCTCAAATAGCTGTTTAAGCTCTCAGGGTCTTTCAGGTGTTCAGGAGTAAACTTCCATGACACCGAAGATGTCCATCTCTCTAAAGTCTCTCCCAAGCCCCTCCACACTCCCTGCCATTCAGTATCCTCTGGTTTTGGGGAAGGCTTCCTCAAAATACGATAAATACAAATACTGACTGAAATGATGAACAGTACATTTAGGGAGACTGACAGCGTGATCAGAGGAGCATTCAAAAACTGCATAAAGGATTCAAAAGAGAGACTGGGAGCCTGCTTAAAAATCACAAGTTCTGTAGAATTAGCAGCTCCTTCTAGAGCTGTATGCCACACTGTATGCAGATGCCAGGTACATATTTCCATCAGTGTTTTCAGTAGACTCTACATACCTATGGCTCCACAGAGCAGAGTGGCAAACTTAATTAAGGCCCAGCATGTTCTGAGCATTAAAAGAGAAAAAATTATGGAATGCAATCCCTTGAAGAGCAGTTTTACAAGAGAAAGCATTTTTTTTTTCTCTCTTTACAGAAGCAAGGTAGCAGCACCCAAAAAGTTTACAAATATCCCAGAACACTGGCAGTCCGCCTGGACTTTCAAGGTCAAGTTTTCAGTGAGCACCTGTGGAAAAGAAACTTTCCTAACAAAGCTCTCCGAGACCAGAGAGAGATTCATTCTAAAATGCTAAAAAGCAGCTTATGCCTGCATTCTCCACCAAGAATGTCAACAGTTTACAGGCTGGTTCGGCCCAGTTCCATGACCAGCAGGACGGAGGGATTTTGCAAAATCCGCGCCTCTGGAAAAAGGGAAACAGGGGACCCCAAAATAATTAAAAACAGTGGCAAAGATCTGAGGAGAAACAAACTAATTTACTAAATAGAGTATTGGAATGCAAGGTAACGCACTATAATATAGTATAATTAGAATCGAAGCTAATAAATCAAATAAAATGAGAGAGAGAATGTCTGAAAGGTGGGAAGGCCTCACCATAAAGCTGAGGTGAGATGCGCAGTGCAGCTGAGCAGCAGGGAGATGGGAGGAGAGCCAATGAAGAAGAGTAGACAAAAAAGCACGCATCAGGTGACCTTGCCAGGAGTTAAACCTCCTCTCCCTGACTGCAAGGTCCCCTGGGGAATGTAGTTCTTCTCTTCTGGGCAGGTACCCAGGACTTGAGCATTAACAGTTAAAGTCCCAGTGCCCCACATGATGTTATGATGTGGAATAGCAAAAACCAAAAATCACAAAACCATGGCAGCTTTTTCTCTGAAGACGACAACATTTGGTTCATTTTAACAAAGGATGTCACTTACTTGCTTTGATACACAGTCTGATAACAGCATGAAGGGGATGAACTCCAATGGATTCAACTTTTGCCCCAATGGAAATCAGCCATTTGACTAATTCTGCTACATTTTGCATCGTCTCATCACATCCATACAACTCAAAAGTCTGATAATGAAGAAAAGAATTACAACATGTTATTTTATATTCACAAAAGACGTTCCTTTAAAAACACAATTCCACAATATCATTTTTTTATGAATTGGTGGAACAACCAAGAGTAACAACCAAGTCCTATTCATTGTAAAATGAAACATTTACAACAAAAACATAGCAGATCCAGTAGAAGTTCAAAGCAAATACATTTCTCCAATGAGCTGTTTGTGAATTTTGAAAGACTCTTCTCCTGCTCTGAAAAGCACTGAATTTGAAGCCTATTTTGTAATACATATTTCTGTATTTCTTCCCTGTAATTGATGGCAACTTTCTGCTATACAAGTCTATCAAATGTTACTACATTCCAATGCACATGTTGCTGTAAGTAGGTATTGTACTGTTTAAGCTCAGATGAGGCAGCTTCTGCAAGCAGTTATCCTAAAGCAAGAAAAGACTGAAGAAATGTTTTAAATTGGAAAACAGGAATTACAGACTGAGGGAAGGAGGTACAGACAACCCAGGTAACATCTCATACAGCTCAGGAATCCCAGCAATAGGAAGAAGGGCAATGCCTCATTCCCACATCCAGCACAGGAAGCATCTGGCATTATTAAGACAGTAACGATAATGAAACTGTTCACATAAAGAAAAGCTGTATGAATTTTATGAATTGTATGAATTTTACAGGGAAATTTACACACCAGGACTGAAAGCACACAGTCTGAGAAGGAAAATCTTGAACCAAAAAAGGATGTTTTATCAGGGACTTAATGAGCTTCAAGCACAGCCTACAAGCAACAGGGACATTGACACAGGAATCTGGAGGTGAGCAGAAGAAGCTCAGAGGGAAATTGAGACAATATGCCAGGAGGGTCTGGTCACGAGGGGGTGCTCAAAACCAGTGTTTAGATATAATTGCTTCTCTTGTGCCAGTCATTTTTTAAATAGCAGGCTTTGCACAGCCTTCCAACATCCACAAACAAATCTTTCTTTCTACCACCTCACGCCAAATTTTGACTGGCAAGTATTACTGTTTGTGCACAGTCACAAAAATAAAATACAGCAAACTACAGGGTGGCAGCAGGGGAAGTTCCAACTGTCAAAAACCACATTTTCCTCTCATTTTTGCAAAAGATAAGCAGTGCTCATTCATTGATCTTTCAGGGCCTGGACTCTGACCCTCCTCTCTCCCTGCAAAGAGCTGATCAGATGCACGAAGTATGAAAGAGGGTAGCATGAAGTCCCACTTAAGCTCCTCGAGTGGCATTACCATGGCACACTTGTCCAATGCTAGCTAACCATGGCATGCTTGTGTAAACATATCTGCTTTGTAATGGTCCACAAGAAATGCTTTACCTCAACTGTTACTGAAACAGAATAGACAACCACTGCATAGTAGCAGATATATGCACTGTGTACTGCTTTCAGAAACTATGCAAAACATAATACCACCCTAACCTAGGAATACTAAAAGCCATCCTGTTTGGAAAACACATTCAGCTTAACAGATGTCAAACATTTTTCTACATTAAATTTAGTGTCAGGTTCCAGGTCTGACATGAATAGCTTGCTGCACTTGAGAGGAAGATATCTTTTGGCGAGCAATAAAAAGGAAATACTAAATTGCATACAAAAACTATACAAAGAAAAGGATACTTCTAATGATCAGTGAAAAGAGACAAAACATATTATTTAACATTATAATATATTATTTAACATAACCACGTATTATTTTTCATTTTATTTTTCTCTCTCATCTGCTTTCACTTTGCCCACAGGATGGATAATCTTCCACTGAAGAGAACAGAAAGAAAAGAAATAGACACAAAACTTAAAAAGCTTGTCACTTTACCTCAAAGAGATTTTTCAGTGGTAACTGGTTGACTCTAAGATTGGTGGGCAAGTCTTTCTTCTTGGACAACAACAACAGAAAAGACTAGGAAACAAAACAGTGGTGATAAGTGCTCTTAGAAACTTTGTTTTTCACTGCATCACTAGACTTTGTAGAGAGCGAAACATGGGCTAACAACATTTCAGATCTTTTTTTTAAGATTGTAACACATCACTGAATTTTCCTTTTCGTTTATCAATTGAGCTAACGTATTTACAGTGGACCAATGTGGGACCAATTAAAACCTCATCAGAAATAGAAACCACATGGAAAGGATCACGTCCTAAAACTATCTGCAGTACACCTTTGGTAGTGATTCTTTTTCAAAGATAAGAAAGAAGATCTACATAATTACAGGCCTGACAGCTCTATTTCAGTGCCTGATAAAATTACAGAGAAGATCATTCTGGGAGTTACTGAAAAACACGTGAAAGACAATGCGCTCACTGGTCACAGCCAGCACAGGTTCATGAAGGGAAAGTCCTTTCTAATGAATAATTCTTCCTTCACAGCAAGATTACACACCTAGCTGAACAAGGGAAGCCAGTAGATGTGATGGTTTTGGATTTCAGCAAAGCTTTCAGCACTGTTTTTCATGATGCAATGGGTGAGCTCAGGTTGGGCTCCAAGGGTTACAGTAAGCAGGATTACATCAGGCTGGCAGCCAGCCATCACTGGGGTTCCTCAGGTAAAGCTTCATTTCAGGGCCAGTTGTCTTCAGTGCTTTTATCAATGACTTGGATACATGACTTGAAGGTATACTAAAGTTTGAGGATGACACTATATCGGGAGGAGCTGTGGACTTCCTCAAAGGCAGAGAGGCCGTGCAGAGAGATCTTAACAAATGTAAGGGCTGAGCAGTCAGCAACCACACGCAGTTAAACAAGGCCTGCATCTCCTCCCAGGGAGCGGAGGGCAGCGCTGAGCTCTGCTCTCAGTGACAGTGCCCAAGGCAACGGCATGGAGCTGTGCCAGGGGAGGGGTAGCTGGGGATTAGGGAAAGGTTCTTCACCAGAGGGCAGTGGGCACGTATTGGTCATGTATTGATCCACCTAAGTGTGTCTTCAAATCCTGAATTGCACTCTTGTGAGTTGACCTTGTAAGGCTGCCAGATGCTCCTCTTCTTCAATCCTGGTGCTCACAGGGCTTTCTCACACTTTTTCCTCACTTCGCCATGCAGCATTTTGCCTTTTAGTAGACAAGTTTCCCTGAGGCTCCTGCCAGTGGCCACTGGACCCAGCCATGCCCTGCAGTGTGGCTGTTGGAGCAGGCTGGAAATTGGCTTGCCGAGCATGGGGCAGACTTGGCCTCACCACACACTGTAGCCCCGCAGCCCCCTGCCAGCACCGTGCCACCAACACACTGTAATTATGGCAATGAACCATTTTTCACACAGTTATTGTTTAAAAAGAGGGTTAGTATGACTTCAGGTGATTCTCCTTCTGATTGTCCAAAATAATCTGGCTTTATTGAACAACTGTGTGCTTCCACTGAGTGGATCTTTCATCCAAAAGAAAAAGACATTATAAATAAACACATTTTTTTATCCCTTCAGCGTGTTTCAAGAATAATGGAGCCCCTAGGTAGGATCAAAACAGAGACAATAGCAGGAGACAAGTGGGATCTTAACTTTGTTGTATACCTTTGAGAAACGAATTTTGGAAATTACTTTGAACTAAGAGTATTTTTCAAGTCTAAAAATCATGACAATTGAATCCAGGAGCACTAAAATTAATTGTTTTTTTTATCTCAGAGGTAACACAAGCTTACCCTGAACAGGTACGAACGACTATGTTTTTGTGCAGCAGTACTACACTATACTTGATCTTAGCCAAAAGACTAAGCAGCGAGTATGTAACATTTGTTTTCTCTTCACTGGGACAGACTTACCTGCCACTTCCCTTTCTGAGCCAACTTTTCCATCACAGATTGCCAAATCAGTGCATCAAACCTTGCACTGAAAATATAATCACATGCAGGGTAGAAAGTTTGTGGCAAGACTCGTTCATCTGCAAGAGTAAGCAGTTATGAGAAGTATGTAGTACATGCAGTGCTTTTAAAGTTGTGGTCTCCAACTAAATCGCTTCACTGCAGAGTGACAGCTTTAGTATGAATACTCAGGAGAATGCTAACAGGGAGCAAACATCTGACTTTTTTAGTGTGACAACCCTTGGCCACCAAACTGCACCTTTTTATCACCAACCAGTCTTTAAACACAGAAAAAAAAATGAGTCCATCACCACTGAGGGGTTCTTAAAATACTTAAGCTTTTAATTTGAGCTTACCATTGACACTCGTGAAGATTCCTGCTATAAAATCAGCAACTTGAGCTTGGTCTACAGAAGCATTTAGAAGAGTCAAACCTCTATGAAACATAGAAATTGCATTACAAGCATTTGATAACATGATCAGCGAGTGGCCAGCTCTATAATAAGCCTATGAAAAAAAGAAAAACAAAAAAAGACCACGGTTAGGAAAACATTCAGAGATCCTAACAACAGAATCTCAGGGGTTACAAAAGATCTCTAGAGATCATCCAACCTCCTGCTAAGGAAGGCTCCCTGCAGCAGGCTGCACAGGTAGGCATCCAGGTGGGTTTTGAATACATCCAGAGAGGGAGATTTCACAACCCCCTTGGACAATCTGTTCCAGAAAAGTTAACAAAAAGTTATCATTTTCTCTTAAATTCATTAAGTATGGCATAAAATGCCACGCAGTGCTATTTTCACAGCTTCTCACACACATACATCCTCCAAAAAAGCAATCGAAATCCCTTGTAATTCACACTGTGCTACTGATGTCATTGTGCATGCTATGAAAGAGCAATAAGTAGATACAGATACATATGGAAAAGATAAATAAAACAGTAGAAAATATCTTGGAAAATAACTGAAGGATGAGAAGACATACTTTTAGCAACTATCCTGGACAGAAATGTTTCTTGTCACAAGGTCCAGAATATACATTCATGTCATTGCACAATCAGAGGTATACAGTTGTATAATCAACAGGTATACAGAGGTTAGGCTTGGTAAGATTATCATGATAGAAAGATAATCAAAATAAATAAAAATGCCCACAAGTGCACAATAAACTCCACAAGGAATGAACTCCAGCAAGAGATCCTTCCTCAGTGATGATCAGCACTTAAATGGGATCTAGAATAGGTGCAGCCAGGCTCCCCCCTTCTGGTAGCACAGGTGAATTGCCTTCACCTGTGTTCCCACAGCTGACTCACTGCTTGTCTCAGGTGGTCAGTCAGAGGTTCAGGCTGTGATCAGCAGTTCCCATACAGTCGTTATGATGCTGCTCAGTAGCACTGTGCAGTATTTAAAACAATGCAGATGTTCTTCAGCAAATGGCACCTAAACACATTTATGTTCACCACTGAAGTAGGTTTTACTATCTCAGGCTCACGGTGGAGTCAACTTGTTCAAAACATTTCCTGGTCAATCCTGCATCACCCTGGGTCCCCAGCATCAAAAGAGTGCATAAGATTTTATTACTTGCTATCACCTCATCTGTAACATTAAAAAGCCAGTTATCTTCTCAAAAGCATTAGTACCTTTCCTGCTGGGATGAGAAACAACAAGCAAGCAAAAGAGAGCTGCTTAATTTTGTTAGTAGTATTACAATAATATTAGAAGTCATTTTGATGTTCGTGTGCACAGCCAGATACCGATTCTGTAATTTTTATGCTATGGTACACCCTAAAACACAACAAAAAGCAGATATTGGCACTTGGTTTAAAACATAATACAGGCAAAAAGTTGCCAGCTTCAACATGTGAATACCTTAACATACTCTGGATCCCAGCGTAAGCTCTCAAAGGCTGAATGCATTGCTTCTCTCCATTTACCAAGATTGTACAAGCAAGTTGATCTGTTGCAGTATAATACAGCTATGTCCCCAGAACACCTGAAAAAAAGTTACCAGCATTACTGCTTATTCAATTTTAAAAAAAAGAAAAAAGGATGCAAGGTACTTTGTAGTTTGCTTTGTAGCAACAAGAACAAGTGCACACATCACCCACCTAAGAAACTCAGAGGGTAAAACAGAGCTGTAGAAAGCAAATGCAATTTGAACATCAGCTACAAAATCTCTCAGTGGCACCCTAATGGTATCTGAATGACATTCTTGTCCCTTCTGAAGCAGAAGGCTAACCCACTGGACTATTGCAGTAAGTGCTGAACTCCATGATCCTTGATCCTTCCCAATGCAGTATGTTCTATGATGCTATGAGGGTTTAGTGACAGTTTAGAAAACCTAGAGACATCTGGGTATTTAGTGAAAGGCAGTAGCCAGGAATGGAAGAGAACGGACAGGAATGGGAGGAAAGGTGAAACAAATGCTAGACAGACTTTAGTCATCAAAGCATAACCAGAAAGTGTTTTACTGTATCATCAGTTGATGATGTCATCAAAATTATATATATTTATGTCAGAAAGAATGAAGAAATAAACATATTTCAGAGAACTGAACTTTCTGAAATACGTGCATCTGGGTGTAAGAATTTCTGGAAAAAGCTTCCCAAAATTTACAGTACGACACAGGGTAGCAGGGAGCCTGAAAAGTCTGTCTCGTCTGTGCTCAAATAGCTTGTGGCATGGTGCTGCATCCTCTGTCTTATTCCTACCTAGCAATTTACACTCAAGAAAGTTGTTTCAACTATATTGAACATGTTCAGAGCACACTCTCACATGTATGCAAATCTTGCCAAGGCAATATACAGCAAGGGGAAAGGGAATGCTCAGGAGCAGATCCCAGTGGGAAGAGAAAGCCCTGCAAAGGGCAGAATCAGGGCCTGGTGGAGATGGCCTTGTTGGCTCTGTCTCACTCCCAGCACAGCTCCAGACTACATTTTACCATCCTTTGTCTAATGGCAAACAGTCAAACCAAATCAAAGGCTGGTGTTACATCAGGTTCATAGAGTTGCTAATACATGGTAATAATGAATATTTAAAAGTTAACATAATGCCCAGCTACTTAACCATTAACCATCACATTAGCAACCAGTGTTAACTGAAGGCAACAAACACTTGGCATTTGGAAAGAAATAGCCACAGAACGCTTTGGCTGAAGCTAGTTTTGAACAGATTTTACAACACCAGGAAAGCTCAAATACCAAGAACAAAGTAACCTGCATGAATTGTTTTCAAAATAGTCAACGATCCATGTAACAACAGACACCCACATTCTCCCAGTAACTGGCACAGCAACATCAATCCATAACATCTCAACTGCAAAGCAGAACTAATTTAACACGAGCCAACATAATGTTTGGAAAAATAATTTGGACCTTAATTATAGTTATTAATAATGTTCATTAAAAAAAATTTAGATTAAAGTTGCTAACTTACACATCAAGAACAGCAATTCCTCCTTAATTACAAAACCGATACACCAAAGAGTGTGACAACAGACATAAGAAAATCATGTGTCAGGGGAAGAAATGCAGTTCTGAGTTAACCACAGAACTGAACACATTTAATTACAAGCTTACAGCTTGTAATTAAAGAATACTTACAGGCCCCATTGCCTTAACTGAACGAGCATATACAGAGCTTGATCATACTTCCTGATGGCCAGGGTGTAATTTCCATTTTTAAAATCCTGATTCCCATCCTGTTTCATAAACTGTGCATATTCCATGGCATCCATGCTAACTGCGAGAGGAAAAAAAAACAAAATAAAACCAATAACCAGAGATCCATGAGACACATCATTCCCCCAAATCCACTTCAACTTTCATTTTAGGTTTTGCACCTCCTTGAAAAATAGGACAAAAGAGTACATCTTTTTGCTATGTTGCAGTTGGAACAGTAAAATGTAACTCAGGTACCAACATCATCTATGCTTTTGATACATCAACTTTCCAGCTATTTTTTAATCACGCTTTTCTCATTGTTTCCTTTGGGTCTCGAATTTTCTTATTTAAAATTATAATTATTAAAATTATTTAAATGCATTCACCCTCTTTAAAAGCAGGATATGAATCTGAGACAACACAGCTCATATAGTTAAGAAATACATGAAGCTACACTTTTCAATTAGTTAAAGACAAAACTATTTAACTTGCTTTTTATTTACCTTTATGACTTTTCCTTTATCCAGCCTTCCCAGCAAGACATTTAATAATCCAATGTACACAAAATCGCTTTGAAACTTGATTACTGCATGAAACTGCTGTGATGTCAGTCTATTATCAGTGCCTGAAGACCTTCGAAGAGATTGAAAATCATTGCTAAAATAAATACATCCAGCACTCGGAGAAATCAAAGGTTGAAACAGGCATCAACTGCAAGTGGCAGAAAAAGCATTTCATAATTAAAACTGTAAAATTAATCTCCTTACATAAAAGTAATCGCCGTTTCAAGAGGCAGGTAATCAAATACAAGGGGAAAAACAGCCACATGCATGCTGTGAGACAGCACGTCAGGATCACAGACAAAACAATCAGAAAGTCTTGAGCAGAATCATTCTCCACAACTGGATTATACTTTTAAAAGCCATCGCCGTTACCTGTGAAAGTCTCTTTTAGTCTCACAAATCTCAGTTCTAGCAAATAAGATTAATAACCCCAGAAGGAAAGCACAGGTTTACTAATTATCCTGGTGTTAACCAGCATGGAACAGAACCAGAGACAACCTGTAACATCACAGCCTACTGACAGAAGCTGTAAAGGCTTTTCACAGCAGACCAAACAAGGTATTTTTAAGTATATGAGCCCACAGACAAAGCACCAAGTAACACTGACATCTTCTCCATTGGTTCTCAAGGCAAACCCAAAAGGCTGCTGTACTGTCCAGAGGATTAAGAGGCGTGCTCTGTGTGGCACTGTGCCTTGTCTGCATGGAGATGCTCCATCAGGTGAAATGCAGTGAGCTCACAGGAGAAGCAGTGCACACCTCTGCAAAGGCAACAACAAGAGAACCAGGTGCTACAGCAAAGCTCAGAGCAAGGCTGCTTCTGTCTGGCTGCAGAAAGGCCACTCAGAAATTAGGCCTTATTTCTTTCAAGGAATAATGCTCCGTGATGATGTATGCAATGCAAACGCTGCAGGAAGAACTAATTAAGCTCCTGGATATAGACTAAACTGACTATAAACTGACAAATAAAAGGTTCCATCTATGCAAGGTCAGGGGAGGTATGATGACAAGGCAGTACTGGAAGAGTAATCATGACAATTATGCCATGCAAATTAAATCATCACTTCATTGAACCACGTGCATATAATATAGAGTTTCAAAATGCTCCTGATGAGACAGCAAGTCAAGTGTTCTCATAGCTTACGTGGGTCTTCTGGACACTGCATAGTATGAACATTATTTAAGGGGAAAAATAAAAAAGGAGGAAATAAAAAACAAATGCTAAAATATAGTTTCATCTTTTTTTTTTTTTTTTTTTACACCCTCAGAAGGTTAAATAAGAACCTCCCCTCTCAGAGCAGATTTCCAGCTGAACACATATTCCCATGCTTTTCCAGCTTGCCAGCCAAAACCCCAAACCATAGGCCATTTAAATCACTGGGATGCCTGCTGAAGGCTTTAGCAACAGTACCCAAGAGATGCACAGACATGCAAATCTGACATGTAAGTAAATTACCTAGAAGAACTGCTGTACTGACTAACACAGTACGTCTTGCTATTGCCTAACATCTTCTTGAAGCATACACAGTTTTAACTCAAAAAACAGAAGACTGACATCTAGTGCTTAGTGTTGAGTGTGGCTAGCATTGAACAAAAATGTCACCCATTCCTATGCCTCCCGTTGGCACAAGGAAAGAGAAATGCCTGGACCACAAATGCATCTGAACATAACTAATAAAAGACTTTGCTTTGGTAAGAAAGGTTCCTTTCCAAAAGTAGGGGTTCCATGACACCGAAGATGTCCATCTCTCTAAAGTCTCTCCCAAGCCCCTCCACACTCCCTGCCACTCAGCATCCTCTGGTTTTGGGGAGGGCTTCCTCAAAATACGATAAATACAAAAACTGACTGAAATGATGAACAGTACATTTAGGGAGATTGACAGCGTGATCAGAGGAGCATTCAAAAACTGCATAAAGGATTCAAAGGAGAGACTGGGAGCCTGCTTAAAAATCACAAGTTCTGTAGAATTAGCAGCTCCTTCTAGAGCTGTATGCCACACTGTATGCAGATACCAGGTACATATTTCCATCAGTGTTTTCAGTAGACTCTACATACCTATGGCTCCACAGAGCAGAGTGGCAAACTTAATTAAGGCCCAGCATGTTCTGAGCATTAAAAGAGAAAAAATTATGGAATGCAATCCCTTGAAGAACAGTTTTAGAAGAGAAAGCATTTTTTTTCTCTTTACAGAAGCAAGGTAGCAGCACCCAAAAAGTTTACAAATATCCCAGAACACTGGCAGTCTGCCTGCACTTTCAAGGCCATGTTTTCAGAACAGGACCTGCAGTACTGATAAGATTTCTAATGAAACTCTCTGAAAGCAGAGAGAGGTTTGTTCTGAAAGAACGTCTTTTCCCAGCCAACGTGGGCTATGCCTGCATTCTCAAAAACAACAATGGTTTACAGGCTGGTTCGGCCCAGTTCTGTGAGTAGTGGGGCAGGGGACCCATGGACCCACACCCCAGGAAAGAAGAAGGGGGGAAAGGGTAGGAAGATGGGTCTAAAAACAAAACAGTGGCAATGATCTGAGGAGAAACAAACTGATTCACTAAACATGATCTCGGAATGCAAGGTAGCATGCTGTAATACAGTATAATTAGAATTGAAGCTAATAAATCAAATAAAATGAGAAAGAGAGCATCCAGAAACAGAAGGCCTTACTCTAATGCTAAAGGTGAGACAGCGAGGGAGCACACGTGCTGCTGAGATGATCAAGAAGGGAAAAGGAGTGTCTCGTGATTTACAGTTTTATCTCTCCCTCTGAACAGACAACAGAAACAGAAGAGTGAACAGTCCTCCGGGAGATGTAGTTCTTCTCTTCTGAGACAGGTATGCCCACAACTATCCATGATCCACAGAACTAGAGCACTGGCTCTTTAACTTCCAGTGCACTACATGACGTTATGATATGGAACACCAAGAACAAAAATGACAACTTGCCACCCGTTAACTTTTTTGTACGGCTCCTGAAACCACTAGAATGACTGTGGCAGCAAAATGGAGCACATCCCCTTACACTTGAGGAACTGCAACACAAGATTATGGAGTTAAATCACAAACAATCAGCTCCAACTTCTACTGTTGTGCCCTGCTTTTTGCTGGGATAGGGTTAATTTTTCTTCATAGTGCGTGGTATGATGCTGTGATTTGGATTGAGGAGAAAAACGGTGTAGATAACACAGCCATGTTTCAGCTGACGCTGAGCAGCACCGCACAAGGCCAAGGGCATTCCAGCAATTTGTACTGTCCTGCCAGTGAGGGGCTGGGGGACAAGGAGCTGGGAGAGGACAGGACTGGAACAAATAACCCAGACTGGCCAAAAGGCATATTCTGTGCCATATGTTCTTGTGCTGAGCAACAAAACTGGGGGAGCTGGCCGTGGGGCTGCTGGCTGGGCATTGGTCAGTGGGCGGTGAATAACTGCACTGTGCATCACTTCCTTTGGGCACTTTTTGTTGTGATTAGAGTTTTAGTTTGCGTGGTTGGTCTTTTTTCTTCTTTCTTTCTTTTCAGTTTAGTAAATGTCCTTATCTCCTACCACAAGTTCTTGCACTTCTCAGTTCTCTCCCCCATCCCTCTGAGGGAGGAGTGAGCTGCGTGGCGTTCAGCTGCCTGCCAGGTTAAACCCAGCATACTGCCAGTGTGCAAAACGCCCATTTACTCCACTCTTGAGTTACCACAGTACTCTACATCCCACTGAACTGCTTCAATCAGACTGTCCTCAAAAGCAGGACTGTTTGGGGGCTTACAGAGCTAAGTGTGATTCCTCTTGCTTCAGCAGATAAGCTTGAAAACCCAAACGCTCTGCCACAAAACTGATTTTTCATCCTTGAAAAATGTGGTGGTCCTTACACTGCTTCCAAAAGGCCATCTTGTGCTTTCTGAAAACTTCATAAATCTGAAAGTGAACCTGAGCAGCTCACTTGTTCCATCTCCATCCAGTTTACATGCTCTAAGAGACAAAACCTCCTAAACCCCTCCTCTCACATTTTATCATTGAGCTTGACATGGTACAGCACAGCGCATCCCCTTGGCGTTATCTGCCTGTTTGTGTCCCCTCCCAAAGTCTTGTGCACCCCCAAATCTATTCATTGGAGGACAAAGTGAGGAACAGAGAAAGCCCTGATGCTGTGCAAACACTGCTTCAGCAACAGCTAAAACAGTGGTGTGCCATCAGCACTGTTTTGGTCACAGACCTAAAACACAGCACCCTGCCAGCCACTACCAAGAATCCACGTTGGTAGTGAATTAACTCCATCCCAGCCAGTGCAGCAAGTGCTTGTTTACAGAGGAAAAGAAGAAGTTTCTACACAGCAAGGCTTTTGATTATTGTTGGTACTGGAGGTCAAGCCTACAAGTCTCAATCCTTTGGTGTTACCCTGTCTTACAATGTTTTTATTCTTGAGGCACAACCGCTTTCCATTTCACATTTCACCAATGTTCAGGGAGTCCGTGTTTCCTCACCAGGCAGCCTCTAGGCACCCATTACCTGCCTAGTAGGAGAAGTCTACCTTGAATGCATGCACTACCTCTCTCAGAGTGAAAAGCAGAAAAATACTTCATATGGCAGCTTTGCTTTTCCATCTCGTACTGAAATGGCAAACAAAAAGTCTTGAAACAGTCTGTGCTTTGAGAGGAAGCCTTGGAAAAGTGGCAGAGATAAAACACACGATTTCTGCAAGCAATATGAACGGGTTTGAAGTTACAAGGCCTAAGTGGACATATTAAGAGAACTCATGTGGAAGAAGAGAAAGAGATGAGATTTTGGCACGGCCATTCTCAAGGATCTATTTGGACTGGAAAATGTCATACTGATATTTGTGGATACTGAGACATTTTAATCCAGTGTTCTGGCAGTATCTCCTACGGGCTGTTTCTAACTCTTGCCAAATATCAGCTCATCTTGGAGAAGCTGCTCCTTTCAAATTGTTTCATTCAGAAAGTAAAATACCTTCTCACTCTGCAATGCAAAACAACAACTTGCAAACAGTTACCTTTCTAGGTCTGTACCAAGAATCCAGACAAAACCAGCAGTCCTAGAGGAAATTCTTCACTACAAGAGTGATGAGACAGTGGCACAGGCTGCCCAGGGAAACTGTGGCTGCCCCACCCCTGGACGTGCTGAAGTCCAGGTTGGATGGGGCCCTGGGCAGCCTGGTCTGGTGGGTGACAGCCCTGCCTATGGAAAGGGGTCGAAACTGGGCGGGTTTTAGGATCCTTTCCAAACCAAGCCATTCTGTAATTCTACAAACCCACCAAACCCATGGGCTATTGCCACGTTTAGCACCATGTCTCACACACAAGTGCTATGCCTTTATCTGGAAAGTTAGCTGTGAGACTTTTCACCTCCACGGTTTTGCTTTTGAGATATTAAGCAGTTGCTGGTGCCTGAGCTAGATGAAACATCCCTGACCAGCTTGCACTGACCTTTCTCCAGGTTCTGGATCAAATTGCTGACTGTAGGGCACAGACTTATTGACCTGTGGCACATGCACACCACATACCGGGGTACAATTAGCACAGACGTCTCGATGTTCCGTTACTATCTCGAATGCTGTGTACAAAGCAGATAAGCAGCAGATGTGTGCAAGGCCTGGGTGAAATGAGGGAAGCTGAACGAGCAGACAGACTCACACACTGCTCCAGGGCCCTGCTCTGGGCAGGGCTAGCCACAAAAACCTCCTGAGGTCCTCTTCTTCCAGATAATGCTGAGCACCGGTTTCTATTTACGCACACTGTTATAAAGCAATTATTACTCATAACTAAGCCCAGCTGACTGATAACTCCAGCTCCTCACACACCAAGCGCACGTAGCCAGCCCTGCTTGCAGCTCAGCTCCCTTCAGAAGCACAACCAGCATCAGGGCCACCAAAAAAGGACTAAGCCCAGCCCAAGCACAGAGTCAGCCTGCTGCCTTGCAGCAACTTAAAAAATCTAAACATAAGGTTGCTGCTAAAGTGTTACCAGTGAATCCTCAAGAGGCTAGATTGGTGGCTGACAAGCACGCAGGATAGGCTCTATGCCAGGAAGCAATATTCAAGCTCAAAGAGGGTAGATTCAGGTTAGATATAGGGAAAAAGAGAGTGGTGAGGAACTGAAACAGGCTGCCCAGTAATGTTGATGCCCCATCCTTGGAGACTTTCAAGACAAGGATGGATAAGGCTCTCTGCAACCTGATCTAACTGTGGTAACCCTGTTCACTGTGGAGGAATTGGAATACGTGGCCTTCAGAGGTCCCTTCCAGCTCTAAGGATTCTATGATTTAAACATGGCAAGGCGACAGCAATCAAAAGCATGCTACCAGAACAAGACAACATTTTCCAATTTTCATCCCAAGACGCAAGACAGGCACCCCACAGCAGGACAGCAGCTCTGCACCTGCTCTCTGTGGAATCAGAGCTTCATATCCATTAGCTGCACTGCATAGCCCTTGCAGGCAGGCTCTCTACAGTCCAAATTTCCTGGGTCCATCCTTAATCCCATATGGTATCTTCATATCATCAGGACTGCAACTCATTTTGGGAAAGCTCCTGGAAAAAAAGCCACTGACAGAAGAACTGCATCTCTCAGCTTGCAGGCAAGACCTTCACGTGTTGCTGACCAATCCGGCAACAAAGGTCTTCAAACATAGCCATGGCCTATCATCCTTGATTTAGGGTGCTCTCAGCACTCTTCCTCCTTCCCTTGCAGCCTTGCACATGGGAACTGCCCCTCTTTGAAGGCTGCCTTGCAGTTGGCAGTGGTGTTGGGCTTGGCTTTGCTCCCCAGCAAACCTTGTTTTGCTAAGTGAAACAAAACAGAATTTTTTCTTTCAGTTTCAAATGGTCCTTCCCCTCTTTGTAATCTATCAGTAACAAATTACACCTCAGAGAAAGGGTGGTAAATACGGCAAAGGCAGCGTTGTGTTTTCTGGAAAAACACAGTGAATACATACAAATATTTACAAACTAGCACTACTTTAACAAACTCAGGACCTGCAGCTCCCATTTTATATACTCACACTGAGAACACGTCCAACATTCTATCTAGGTGTCATCACTGTTTTGTAAACAATAACAACAAAAATTCACAGAGCAGTGGAAATAGTTAATCTCACTTCCTATGTCCTGAAACAACAACCCCAAAATCCACCATCCAGCTCTGCCACACCAGCCCTAACCCAGTCCAAGAGGGAGGTATCTACACTGCTGCTCTTGTTTACTCAGCCTGATGATGTTCCTGTCATCAAACAGTGATGACCCAGTAAGAAAGCAATGGTAACAAATGGGCTCTAGATCAGTTCAAGATAGCAAAACATCTGGAAAGGAGAATAAAAACTGAAAACTAACAAAAAAAAAAAACCAGCAAGATTTCCCTAACAGCAAAGTCTTCAAGCCTGTGCACTTGGTATGTTTATTTGCACACAGGTAAAAGCTCTGGTAAGAAACACTCCTCTTTGCACATTTTCTTGACAATGCAAAGTCTGTTCCCATTTGCACTAAAATCATGTCACCAACCTGAGGTTAATGTTCTGTAAATCAGGCACTAAATAAAAAGGTAACAGACCTTTTGGGTTTTGCTCTTCTGAAGCGCACACGGTGCTCCAGCTCCCTCTCAGATGAACAAGTCTGCTTCTAAGTGACCATTCCACGACCTCAAACACAGCACTGCTCTCCGGAGAAAGGATCCAAAACCACTGAAGACAACGCTCAGCCGGGGGGCCACACGGAAGCTCTTCCCTTTCAGCAGCACGCATCGCCCCCCGCTCCTCCGTGCAGGACTGCTGCAGGAAGGCCGGAGGCACATCCAGCTGCAGGGCAGGAGCAGCACGAACGCACCCCGCCTCCCCTCCGGCCGCCCCACGCACCGCCCGGCAGGCTTCCACCCCGCACGGCCACCCCTCATCCGGGAACTACGGCCCTGCTCCGGCCGCGGCAGCCCCCCGGAGGGTTCAAGGCGAGTTCGGGCGGCCCCACCGCGGCGGGACGCCACCCCCGGGGAGCTTCTACCCGCGAGACGCAAGCGGAGCCGTGCAAGGCACGCATAAGCCGCGCAGGGCCACGCGATGCACGAAGCGGTGCAGGGCCGTACCACGCACGCACAGCCGTGCGGCGGCCGCCCCGACCGCCGCTGGAGCTCCAGCCCCGCACGGAGCGGGCGCGGGGCAGGCGATGCCGCACCGCTGCGGACGCGGACCGTGGGCACTTACCCGCCCGCCGCCGAGCGCCCAAGCCCTCGGGCTGCGAGCCCGCTGCCGCCCCAAAACACGGCGGTGTCGCGGCCCCGCCCCACGCCCCTCCCTGAGCATCGCGTCACCCGGGGCCGCCCGCGGGAATCGAAACCGGGAGACACCGGGCCCGGGCCTCGCGAGCCGCGAGGACGTTGGCGGAGCGCCGAGGGGCGGCACTGAGGCGCGAACCGGCGGGGCTGCGTGTGGGGAGCCCAGCGCCGCGCGCCTCGTCTGCGCTACCGCGAGGTTCTCGTGGGCTCCTCACGCAGGCAAAGAAATGGATAAACAAATGATTAACGCTTCGTGAAACAGTGTGAAATAACCACGTCCAACCTGCACACGATACTGCCAAGCCCACCGCTAAAACGTGTCCCTAAACACCACGTCCACACGGCTCTGAACCACCTCCAGGGATGGGGACACACCACCTCCTTGGCAGCGTGTGTTCCAAGCCCTCACCACCATTTCTGTGAAGAAACGATTCCCAGTATCCAATCTAAACGTCTCCTGGCATGACCTGAGGCTGGTGCCTCACATCTTTTTGTCACCTGACAAAAGAGGCTGGTGCCCACCTTGCTGCAGCCCCATCAGATAGAGCACAGTAAGCTCCTCTAGACTGAACAGCCCCACTTCCCTCAGCTGCCCCTCACAGGTCTTGTTTTCCAACTCCATCAGATTTGGTGCCCTGGACACATTCGAGGAATTAAACCCCTTCTTGCAGTGAGAGGCCCAGAAGTGGACACGGTGCTTACGGTGTGGCCTCACCGAAGTTCATACAATAACTTACTCTCCTTGAACAACGCTTACACAGGTCTATGGCACCGAGAGCCACAGTCTGCACACAAATTTCTGACCAAGCATCTGTCAGCCGCCCATGTAGTGGCTAGGGAACAGGTGCAATGCCAACCCTGGCATGGGCACTGCTCTCCTTCTGCTCCATGCTGAATGTTCAAAATACTGGGAAAAGCCACTGTTTAAAGAAGTGGTCAACACTACTGCTAATAATGCTGTTTTGGAGCAGCATGGATACCCAGTAGGAGAACTGCAGCTCCCCTGCATGCACTTGTTTACTAACAGGTCTAAATCAAAGTCCTCAGGTGGGATTTTTCAGTTCTTATGCAGCAAAAGTGCTCGTTCTTAAAAAGGGTCAGTGGGATAGAAATGCCTGAGGAAGGACTGGCTGACTGGGACTGAGGCACCTGGCATTCCACTGAACCCTAAGCTCCCTCTGGTTGTCACTGACAGGATGCTTCGCTTCAAGAATCCTGTTGGTTCTGCTGCCTTTTGGTTCAGAGAGGACTCTGACCTGACCACTCACAGGCAATAGCCTCTTCTACATCTATCTGCTAGACACTGACTTGTTTGTCAATCTCGTCACCAAACAGAAAACGAAACTTGAGTTTCTCCAAATGAAACTTGACAGCTTGCAATTCTTCCTCCTGTGGTGTTTTCCTCCTGTGCAGGTCAGGTAATTTCCCCATGCTGTGTCCCTGCCACATACACACTGCCAACGAGTGTCTGAGTCTGCAAATTATGGCATTTCCTGATTATGAACAGGCATGTAAGGAATAGAAACTGGAAAGTGTGGACTTCTTTTCAGAGGCAGCTTTGCATATCTGCATGCCCAGAGGGCAGGGCAGCCACCAGGCACATGGGGTGATATGGGTGCTTCAGAACAGGAGCACTGGGTGGAGGTGCTCATAACATCCAGCAAGGCAGCACATAATGATGCACAAATACTTTCTACCCAGCTCCTAAACACCTTGGGAAATGTTTCCAAGGGAAAAATATATTTTTTTTAGATGGGAAAGTGAGAAACAGATCATTCCACACATTGCTCACCAAGGTATCCCCATCTCACACCATCCTTGACACCATCCCAGGAAACACATACATTTCTTGTGCACCTGCATTTCTGTCAGTGAAAGCACACTGCTCACAAGTGATGCCTCCAGGTACAGCAGCTCTAAGGGCTGAAGTTTTCAGTGTGAGTGCAGTTCCATGAAGGTATCCACACTGCAGCTTCTATCAGTGAGATTACTTTAGGATGCTTGTTTGATTTTGACAGGTATCTCCAAACTGATGTAGTAGATGCTCCTGATGAACCCATGAGACAAAAACTTGTCCCAGATGAATCAGTATTACTTCAGTGTGATGGCTTTGAAAGAATTGCAGTGGAATCTTAAGCACATAATCAGCAGAGGATAATGCAATACAACCAATGGCAAACACCTACCTATTTCATCACTTTGCTTCTACTTGGCCTACTGCTGAAAAATCCCTTCACGTCTCTCCTGTATAATCCTTCTTGCTTATTATCCCTTCCTGCTACTCCATTTCCTAAAAGCCTGGCTGCTTAATTCTACCTGCGTCAGCATCATGGGGACTGGTCCTTTTGCAATCCATCTGAAAGCCTGCTAGTGCACCAAGGCCTCCTGGTCTGTGTTACTGTACAAGCAGTTGTCTGTGACACACAAAATACTTGCTGCTCTTTGCAATACAAAGGTTTTTTTTTTCCCTTGAGTTTGCCACCTTCACAGCCTGCAGCCATTTTCTGGTGTTATTCTTTATACATGCAAAACAGTTGTGGCACAATACATCCTTAGCTGGGACTGGAGTCCTGTGACAGGTAGGAAAGCAATGTAATCTCTAACACCTGTGCCTGCTGTGCATGAAAAGACTGGTCCAGGGATGTATCTCAGCTGGACTTTAGCCTGGCATTAAAATTATAGCGGAAGAAAATGAAACTCGTTTAGTATGGCAAATAGTTATCTGCCTTCTCTGCTATCAGACTTAAGAGGAACTGACAGAAACATGACAACAAGAGGGCAGGAGGAGCAACAGATGTGTGTGCTCCTTCTGTACGTGTCCTCTCCATCCATATGTTGAGGGGGGAAAGTAGCTGAGCAAGTGGGAACTGGAGCGAAGAATGAAAGATAGAAAAGTAGAGAACTGAGAATGCTGGGGAAAGGCAGTCCCTGAGCTCATAGCACAGGCTGGCACTGTTGAGTTGCCCAGCAGCAGCAGCTGAAGGAATGTGGAGAAAGGGCAGTCACCTGCCAGAGGCAACAGAGCAAATAAAAACATGGGGCTTGTCCTCACAGATGAATCATACTGTGAAAAACAAAACAAAGATGCACACTTCTGTGTTCTTTTGTTTTGAAGTAAATCATAAGTTTGCCTCAGTTCTACATCTGGTAATTTTATATTTATGTCCCTGTGCTTCCATACCACTCTGTTATTACAAGGTGCAGACCTACGGATGGTGTGATGCAGAAATGCAAAAAGTCCTTTTTTGCAGACAGATATCTAAGATTGCATGAAGCCAATCATGAAACCGTAGGAAAGGGCCACCGGCTGCTTTGGAACATGGTGGAACCCAAAAAGGTTCTTCACCAGAGGATGGCCAAGATCTGGAATAGGCTTCCCAGGGCGCTGGTCACAGCCCCAAGCCCCAGAGTTCCAGAAGCATTTGGACAATGCTCTCAGACACAGAGTTTGAATTTTGGGCAGTCCTGTGTGGAGCCAGGAGTTGGACTCAGTGATCCTCGTGAGCCCCTTCCGAGTTGGCATATTTTGCAATTCCGCACTCTAGGACAGGAATATAAAGCGGATGGGGTCTTATCAAGAGAGAGAAGCAACGAGCCTTACTCCATGAAAAACAGAGGAGTGAGCCGGGGTGACAGAGATGAAGAGGAATGCTCCCATAAGAGATGCCCAAAGGCTAAGAGATGTTTGTGCATCAGGAATATGGTCAGGAAACTGCACGGGCTGACCAGGACAGCTACCTCAACTCTGTTCTAAGAACAAACATTCTTCTCCTGGCTGCAATCCAGACGAGATTGGCAGGGATTTCTTTCTTTGCTTTTGTAATGAGAGCATGCCAAGTTTTAAGCAGCAAGTGTTTGTTTTTACTGCCAACAGCAGGCACTGTTATGGGTGCAGAGAAGCAAATAAACTTTCCCAAATTTCTCCTTTTCGCTTAAGCAATTCCACCTTCCGAAAGAAGCTTCTGAAACTGATTACTACCTGGCTGGAGAAGGACACCTTCTGCCACCTATCCTCCAGGGCTCTATCCCACAGAGCCAGCACAAGCCCTCCACCCCAGGGGCACAGTGCAGCTGTCATGGCTGCTGCTGCAGAACAGCAAGCATCCAGCCACCAGGGCACCTGCTTCAGCTCCATCCATGCAGGTTGCTTCCTCTGGCTGCCACTGTTTCTTCAGGCAGTGTCTAGATCTTTGCCTGGGTCTGTGGTTGCTCATAGTCCTAATAGAGAGATATGCTCAGCCCTCTCCCACTCATGTAAATGTCTGTTGTGTTAAATCCAAGAAGGAAGTGACGAAAAGGAGACTGGTTTTGTGTCTATTTCAGTTTGTCAAGGGAAGAGCCTTATCTTGCAAAAAGCCATGCCTTGCTTATACAGTTATACAGAAGAAATCTGTTACACTCTGATTACCTTGAAGAGTGAAAGGGATCACTTTAATGCCTGAGTAGTACATACTCAAACATCTCACCAAGTTTTCCACCGTACTTTTAATTCTCCCATGCTTATATACCTG